ATCTTCACTCTGGCAGGAGCCTGGCTCAGTGTGGGGACACCGTGGGGCTGTCTAGGCTGGTGGGTGCTCCGACGGGGGTGGAGAGAGGGGCCTCTGGGGACCCATAGAGGGCTGCAGCCCCTGCTGGGCTGGGACCCCGGAACAGGAAGGAGACCACAGCATGTGGTTTGACTCCCATCGGGAACTCCTTGTTGCCAGCTTCTGAGTCCTCATGGGAGCCACGTCCGCCTGTGGGACCCACACGCTGGGATTCAGCACGCTCAGTCAGTAAGTGACAGGGCCAGGATTTGAAACCAAGCCCTGTCCTCTGCCCACGTGCCTCCTGGCACAGAGACACAGCCTTCCCTGAGGGTGTTGTCCCTGGCATCCCTGGTCTAGAGTGGATGGAGGAGCGGGGAACGCCGCCCCAAGCTCCCACAACCAGACCCCATCTCTCCCAGACCATGATAGTATCGTCTGGAAATGCACCAGGAACAGAGCGGGAACCTCATATCCTAGGGTCCCCAGGGAGCCGGGCCATGTGGTGGCAGCACCAGCCTCCCCCGCCCCACCACCCCCACCCCGGGTGTCTCAAAGGCAGAGGAATGAGAGCCACAGAACAACCCGTACCATCAGGACCTCTGCCAGCACCAAGCCATCTGGCTCCAGTCAGCGGGACCTCCCCGATGCCTGACAGATTGGGAGGCCAAGGGGGTTTTAATTTGGGGTAGTGTTTCCCCCGACCACAGCCTTCACTAGAGCTCCTGCAGGAGAGGCACCTGGTCCAGCCACGTCTGGAGGAAGCCTCCGTCCCAGGTCCTGCCCCTCTGCAGGCAACAGAGCTCTGCCAGCCGCAGCCCAGCCAGGTCCCGTTGCCATCGCCCGGCCAGTGTCACTGTGTCCAGGGCCAGTCTCAGGCTGGCGGGGCAGCTCCCAGCCACTCCTCGCTCACACACAGACATGAAGCTCCTCCTTTCCCTGGCGTGAACTGTCCTGGAGCACGGAGAGCCACCGCCGCGTGCGTGTGTGTGGGCGCCACCTGTACCCATGGGCGCTGCAGACAAAGGCACTCTGTCCTCCCCGTTGTGCAGAGGCACGGGTAGCCGGAAGCCTTGGCGGCAGATGAAGACGGGCATGCTGTTGACATGGAAACCCAATGGTTAAAAATTCCTCAGGCGGCTTCGAAATGTCAAATTTTGATAACCAGGTTGGAGTCCTTGTTCCTCCATAGTGAAATGTTTGGCAAAACAAACCCTGCCATGAATTCCTGACAACTCGTCAGCCGCGGCGCACGCCCGAGCCATATGTCCCACGACGGGCGGTGCGTGCTGGTTCCCGCCCGCGCCGGCTCCCAGTGCTGACGCGCTGTCAGGGCTGAAAGGACGGCCTGCCTCTCCGGGCTCGTCTTTTATGGACATGTAACTTGCTGTTGGACAAAGGGCATCCACTAGCTTCCTGGCTTGCCGAAAGGAAAGCCTCTGACAGACAGTTTTCCCTCCTCCACGTTTCTCCGCAAAAACCCAGGACTGCTGGCATTTGCCTTGAGCCAGGGGCTGTAGGTTTCCAAGTCCCTGCTAATTAATCGAAGCGGGGTGTCAGGGCGTGGGGGGTGCATGCAGAGACCCACACCTACATACGGACACTTGCCTCTGCCACGTTAGTTTGAGAAGGGAACCAGCCCATGTGGGAACTTGGCGTGTGGAGCGCAAAGCGGTGGTGCAGCCCCGTGGCAGGGGCTTGACAGTGGGCATGCCCAGTGGGGGGAGGCACACTGCGTGTGCCCCAGTGCATAGGCACCCATCACTGCTCATACCTGTGGCTGTACAAATGTGTGTGTGTGATGTGTGTGGCGTGCTCACACCTCCATACATACATGTAACCACACAGCCTGTGTGCACATGCATGCATGAGTGCCCACACGTATGCCAGTGTGACCGTGTGTGACCATGTGCGTATGTGTCTACATACGCCTACATACATGCATATACTCACACAGTCTGCATACGTGTGCATGAGTGTTCACACTTGTGGCATTGTGACCGTGTATGTGATGCATATGTGTGTGACTGTGTGTGATGTGTGTGTGATCATGTGTGTGAGGTGGATGTGACCATGTGTGATGTGTGTGCAGTGTGTTCACACCTACACATATGCATATACCTACACAGCCTGTGGGCATATGTGTGCATAAGTGCTCATACATGTGCCTGTGCAAACGTGTGAATGTGTTTGCTGTCTGCTCACACCCACACACACGCACACACCAACACAGACTATGTTCATGTCTGCATTCAACGCTCGCCTGTGACCCATACACACCCAAGCGATACTGAAGTCAGACATTTCTCCTAAGGCCATCTTATCCTCTCGCTACTGTGCAGATACCATCTATAAATGTGCATCTTACATGCACGCACATGCACAGGTCATACTGCATGGGAACATGACTATGTGTGTGTTTATGAGTCACACACACTTACTACAGTGGTGGGACAATCATTCACACAAAAACCTGCACAAAGGTTCCACCTGCCCTGGAAAGACATGCACACAGAGCAGAGTCCTCCCAAGAAAGAGTTGCTGGGTCGTGGCGGGCACAAGCCTCCTAGGGCATGCTCCCAGGGCCTCTGTTCCTGGGGCACCTCTGTGCCCATCTGTCAGCAGGCCCCTGTGCCCTGGCAGCATTTGGGGAACAGCCTGGGGACTCAGCACCCTGGGCTTACTTCACACTCTGCCACCCACAGGCAATGGGACCTTGGCAAGCGTCCTGATGTCTCTTGGCCTCAACTTTCTCACCTTGGACTTGGAGAAAATAGGACAAAGACAAATGTGTGTCCTGTGTTTTCCAGATCCTGCACTCATTCCTCGGATGCTCCCGGCCCGTCTTCCCAATGGGGGCTGGGGCACGGGCATCATTTCTTGCTAAAAGATTTCAGGCAGAAGTGGCCATGTCCTTCCAGGCCTGACCTCCTGTGCCGTCCTCCTTTCCTTCCCCTTTCATGGTGACTGGGAAACCACATGTGAGATGGCAGCTGCATCTGAGGCCCCCAGAGACTGGGTGGACCACATCCTATGTTATATGTAAATTTTGGGTGCAATGACTTAAAGTCAGCACTGGGACGAAGGATCTCTCGGCAAGGCAATCTTACTTCCTGCAGAAAGGGCACACTCACCAGCAGTCTTGCTATGAGAGTACAAGGAACAAAGGAAAGCAGACATGTTTATCTTTCACGCATTTGGGGTGGTCTTTGCTGCTGCCTCTGATCTCCGTTGGCTGGAGCCAGACCTCACAGTCTAAAACTGAGCCTGATTGGCCAACAACTTAAAGCTTTCTTGAATAGGTGAAGGCAACGGAGGACGAAAGGAAAAGAGGGAGTCCAAATAAGGAAGGGACAGGAAGCTGCTGCGAAAGGACTTAGAAATGTGGTAGCACAGATATCCTGGTTACAGTTCAAGGACATAGAAGGTACCACGTGCCTGTGGGCATGTCTGACAGCTACACGGGTTAGGGCTGAACAAAGCGTTATTAGCAGAAAGCAAGAGGCTTTGGAGAAAGTCTTTAAAACAAACTGTTCTTTCTAACACTTGTGATTTATTCTTGAACAAGAAAGGAGACTTCGAAGAGGAACTTTTCTACGTCCCACACCCGAAGCCTGCAGCAGGGCAGATGCTGGATGTGACTCTAGTGTCTGCAGCCTGAGGTCTCCCGTCCCACCCGCTCACTAACCCCACCAGGGACACTGCATCACCGTGGACTGATCCCAAATTCAATATTTTAAAAGCTGAGACCAAAATGCGCAAAGAGACTATTGAAGACAAATAAATACTTGCTGAGTACACGGACAGCCTTGGGATTGAGCAGGAGGGAAATGGTCTCTTGAAAAAATGTAATACCTGTTTCCAACACACACTCTTCACTGGCAAGATCGGAGCTGCCCGGGCTGACCAGAGCCTGGAAAGGTGCGGAGTAAATCGAAGGTAAATACGCTGAAGATTAGACGTGGGGCCGTAATCTCCTAAAGAGTACAGCTATGCAGCCCCAGAGGCGAGGGCCACGTTTGCATAATCACCATCGAAAAACCCCTGGAAGCCAAGCTTATCACGATTCTGATGAGAAGAAAATGCATGGAGATCCCTTCTCTTCATCAGAGAGCAGAAAGCATCAAGGGGTTCCGTGTCAGGAGGTGGGGGCGGAGCACAGGAGCAGGGCTCGGGAGACAGCACCCACCGTCCTCCAGCTGCACAGTGACCAGCTGTGCAGACAAGAAACAGGAGCTCAACTGTAGAATCAGACCCTGAAGTGTCACCAACCATGCTGGCACGTGCTGGGCATGAAGTCCTGTCCGTGATGCCTGGCTGATCCCAGCTGGGGGATGTCCACCCTTGCTTGCCCTGCCCGTCAGTCTTTCTGGGGTGAGGAAAGACCTCCCAGCCTCGCCTCCCAGGGTGAGACAATGCAGTCCTTGGGGCAGTCCCAGACAACCTGTCTGTACAAATCACTTTCTATTCCCAAGAGGCATATGTTCTCTGGCGAAAAGCTGACAGCTCAGCATTAGGGCACACTGGGGGTCTAACGGCATCTCCCCTACAGGCAAGGAAGGGAGGGTCTAGGCCAGAGTCCCCTGAAGGAAGCCTCTGAGCTGAGGGGTACAGGCCAGCTACCCTACCTGACACCAATGCCAAACCACGTCAGTAACCCATGTGTCCACTGCACCTGCTGCGAAGACCCACCATGGCCTCAGGGACCTTGAAGTCCACCAGATCCCAGGTCACAGGGTGCCAGGGCTGGTGTCAGGAGCCCCCCATGGGGGCTGCAAGACTCACACTGACTGCAGGAAAGAAGCCCCTCTCACTGTCTGCTCCAGGGAGGGGACAAGAAGTTTGGTGCCCCAGGCCTTTCACCTGCTCGGTCTTCATCCCAGCCCCACACCCAGCCCAAGGCAGACTCCCAAGAGGCAGAGCCAGGGCAGGACAAGCCCAGGGCTGCGGTTCAGCTCCTGCAGCTGCACATCTAAGCTCCATGAAAGGCCAAGAGGGCTGGCCAGGGGCTGCTCAGCTCATCACGCAAGCAGAAGGCCCCCCAGGCAGACCCACACTTCCTGGGCCTGAAGCAGGCCTGACCACATTGGCAGGCAGTGTGGTAGTCCCTGGCTGCCCCAGCCACCCTCCGGCCAACTCCCTGAGACTACCCACATGCCCATGGGCAGCTCCTGCTGGTTGGCAGGTCTGAGGGTTGCCAGTCCCCTAACAAGGCTGGGGATGGGGTGGGCAGGGGCACTGCTTTGCACAGGGTGTCCCTGCACAGTGGAAGCTCAATGTCTGTGTCACTGTGAAATCTCAGCCACTTTCCTTTGGAACCCAAGGGACATTGCTCTCCTGCTTTGCCAGTCCCCATATCCACATGCGCTGGGGTCACCTCTCCTGCCCGAAACCTCACTGCCTAAGAACTCCTTCTGCCACCCTTCCCCTGAGGAGGTGGGCCTGGGGGTCAGGGGTGGACCAGGTAGCCATGACCCCTGGCCCAAATCCAGCAGAGCAGGTCCCATGTGACGTGGACAGTTGGAGAGGAGAGACAGGAGCCCACTGGAGGAGGGATCTGCTTCGCCCAAGCAGAAGGGACGGGAGGGGAGGGAGCCATGGGAGCCGCTGGTTTCTTTCCCACCACCTAGCAGGGGAAGAGATGGGAGGAGCCCTGACCACCCTAGTTTCCACTCTGGGCCTCAGTTTCTCTCTCTGTCAGCCTGCAGCATGTTCCCCTGAACCATCCCAAGATCCCTGGCCATAGTCTCCAGTGGTCAACCAAGACTCGAAGCTGATCCTTTAAGCGGAATGCTGGCCCCAGGACAGCACCCTGTGCATTCCCTCCCTGGGCTCTAGCAGGTGACAGCCCCTGTGCCCTCCCGAGGTTCCTTCACTCTGTGTTTCCTCAGGAAGACACTTCAGGGACAGGCAGCACCAAGACTCCTGATGCCCCATTTGTCAGACCACCCTGCTCGATGTCACAGGCAGGGAGCAGACGAGACTTACACTCAATTCCTCATGCATGCAAAATGTAGGTGAAGCCTCGTCCTTCTCGAGTCATCATGGAGGCAGAGCAGGCGGTGCAGGTCATCAACACAGGAGGCTCTGCAGATGCCAGGGATCCCCAACCCTACTCAGCCCAGCCCCACAGAGCAGAGGGCCCTCGGCCCCTCAGCCACCACCTCAGTCCTCAGGGAGTGTCCACAGGGCCCACGGCCCCTCAGCCACCACCTCAGTCCTCAGGGGGTGTCCACAGGGCCCACGGCCCCTCAGCCACCAGCTCAGTCCTCGGGGGTGTCCACAGGGCCCACGGCCCCTCAGCCACCAGCTCAGTCCTCAGGGGGTGTCCACAGGGCCCACGGCCCCTCAACCACCAGCTCAGTCCTCAGGGGGTGTCCACATGGCCCACGGCCCCTCAGCCACCAGCTCAGTCCTCAGGGGGTGTCCACATGGCCCACGGCCCCTCAGCCACCAGCTCAGTCCTCAGGGGGTGTCCACATGGCCCACGGCCCCTCAGCCACCAGCTCAGTCCTCAGGGGGTGTCCACATGGCCCACGGCCCCTCAACCACCAGCTCAGTCCTCAGGGGGTGTCCACATGGCCCACGGCCCCTCAGTCACCAGCTCAGTCCTCAGGGGGTGTCCACATGGCCCACGGCCCCTCAACCACCAGCTCAGTCCTCAGGGGGTGTCCACATGGCCCACGGCCCCTCAGTCACCAGCTCAGTCCTCAGGGGGTGTCCACATGGCCCACAGCCCCTCAACCACCAGCCAGTCCTCAGGGGGTGTCCACATGGCCCACGGCCCCTCAGTCACCAGCTCAGTCCTTAGGGGGTGTCCATAGGGCCCACGGCCCCTCAGCTACCAGCTCAGTCCTCAGGGGGTGTCCACATGGCCCACGGCCCCTCAGCCACCAGCTCAGTCCTCAGGAGGTGTCCAGAGGGCCCACAGCCTCTGCATCCACAAGCTCAGTCCTCAAAGGGGTGTCCAAAGCCCCGTGAAGGGAGAAGGAAGGCCCCCAATGCCCCAATATCCACCTGGAAGCTCTTCCTTCCAGAATTTTCCTCCGCCACATGCACCTTCCTGGCTCACTGTGACTCGAGGGCTACCACCACTCCCACAGCACCCACTGGAGGACAGAGGTCTGAGGGGGCCTGCTCACCTACCCTTCCTGTCCACGCACCCAACCCATCATCCTGTCTTTATGGAAAATCCTGATTCTGCCACAGTTCAGCCTGGTCAAAAACCGCTGGACACCCCTATTTCCCACCTGGACACTCCCATCTCCTGCCTGGACACCCTCATCTCCTGCCTGGACACCCTCATCTCCTCCTGGACACCCTCGTCTCCTGCCTGGACACCCTCATCTCCAGCTGGACACCCCCATCTCCTGCCTGGACACCCTCGTCTCCTGCCTGGACACCCCCGTCTCCTGCCTGGACACCCTCATCTCCGCCTGGACACCCCTGTCTCCTGCCTGGACACCCCCGTCTCCGCCTGGACACTCCCATCTCCTGCCTGTACACCCCCATCTCCTGCCTGGACACCCTCATCTCCTGCCTGGACACCCCCGTCTCCGCCTGTACACCAACGTCTCCTGCCTGGACACCCCCGTCTCCTGCCTGGACACACTTGTCTCCGCCTGGACACACTCGTCTCCACCTGGACACCCCCATCTCTGCCTGGACACCCCCGTCTCCTGCCGGACACCCTCATCTCCTGCCTGGACACCCTCAACAGCCTCCACCTTGATTTCTCTGCCACCCAGGTCATAGGCATGAAGAGCCAGAGCAAACTCTCAAAAGAGGAGGTGGTTTAAGCAGTCACTGGCTTGCTAGGACCCTTCAGAGGCAACCCCACTAGGCAGCCACTCCAAGCCTTATGTGCCCCACCCGCCTGAGCCTTTCCCCAGGCGGGGAGCTCACCTGAACTCCCTGCTTCCCCTCCCTCCTCCAGGTCACAATGGGACTCTGTCCCCTAGAGAAGGGTTCCTGTCCCTGAGGAAAACAGCCAGGTCAGGGGTGCCACAGACCCCGCTTGTCCCCCAGCCCCACTCCTGGTGCAAGTGCACAGTTTCTGAGTGGGGTCCTGCCCACCGGCCCTGCGTACACACTTGGGGCCACCCTGCTTTCAGGGTGTTCCTGGCTCTTTCCACAGTGCTGACCTGCAATCACACTCAGACTGCGTCTTTGCTGACCTAAAGCATCGGTTAATTACACAAACTCCCTAAGCACCTGCCAAGCCACAGTCCTCGAGGCCACATCACAGGTGGGGCAGGTGGACAAGCCTAGACTCGGGCGCAAGCCCTAGGTTCTTAGGGGGTGAAGACCACCCTTGATGGGAACTGAACCCCATGAAGGAGTGTGGTGGGGAGGGTGTGCACAGGGCGGGGCTGGGTGCAGTGGCTGGAGGCAGCCAGTGCAGGGTGCAGGGGTGCTGGGCTGTGAGGGACCCCTTCCAGGGGTCCTCGCCCTAACAATGCAGCAGCCCCCAGGCCCACTCCCATCTCAATCCACTCGAAGCTCGTCAGGAACCAGGACCACACCAGGCTCCTAATTCATGAGTTTCCAGCACCTCTGACCTTCAGTGTCCTTACCTGAGAACCAATGTCACCATTGCCATCAGAACTATCACGGGACCTCTAGAGGAGGAGAGGAAAGGCACCAGGGACCCAGGCGGCCAAGGGAGCTCTGCCTATGCCCCTTTCACCTGCCTGTCTGGTGCCCAGCGACAAGAGTCACATGACATTCCCAATTCCAGAGAGGAGAAAAAGCCATAAAAAAAAAAGCATCTCAGAAGTGCCTGAAGAATAGCGCCTGGGAAGGCGTGACTGGACCTCTCAGGGCTACTCACGTGTAATGGGCCTGAAGCCTCACGCGGGCTCCACCCACCCGTGAGACACCAGGTGCATCTCAGGCACCTCCCTCTGACCTCCCGGCCACCATTCTGGGACCTAAAGCTGTTCTCCTCAACTACAACAGAGGCTGACCCAGGCAGGGTCTGAGCTGGGGGAGGGGCCAGCAGAGCCCTGGGTCCTCCTGCCACCTCCAGCCTGGGTGGGATGAGGCTTCCACAGGGCTCCAACAGGCCTGCGGTGGAAACTCACCTCCCTTCCAGGCAGTCTCGCCAGAGCTGGAAGGAAGCTGCGAAGTCAGTACCTGCCCCATGTCTCTGCCCCAAGCACTGTACACACGTGTCCTTCCTCAGTGTTCCCGTCTGGAGGCCTCGCCCAGGGGAAGGCCGGCTGTCTCTGGGCAGCTGCAGCAGCTCAGGAGTCCACCTCGCTGTCCGAGGTCCTGCTGCCCCGGCCTTGCCCTCTCCATAAGCAGGTGTCAGATGACAGCATAGCTGCTGATCCATTCAGAAACACAGAGCAGCAGCCGCACTGTAAGAACTGGGCGCGTTCGGGTCTCAAGAACCTCCCCCCAGGCCTGGGCTGCAGTTAGGCTCCACACGGAACTTGACCTTTACAGGGTGCGAAGTCAGAGGGTCAGCCACAGGGAGGGCCATGGGGTCGCCTCTGACTTGGCATCATCCCAGGCCTGGTCAGTCGGCCCAGGGGAGGCCAGCAGGGGTCCACAGGGGCATGGGCAGGGCTGTGACCAGGAAGTACCGTCCATCTGAGTTCTGCAAAGGCACACATCCGACTTTCAGTAAATGGAAAATAAAGGTCATGGTGGGCCTCATAAGGAGAGAGAGAATATGTCAAGTGAAAGAAAATCCCAAGGACAACTCAGCACCTCCCCCCTTTAGAGAAGCCGCAGTCCCACCTCACAGCTGATGTCACTGTTAATTTTTTCTAATGACACATTGAAGAAACAAAGCAAAACAAAAGAACCATCAACTCAGCATTTAGAACAACATATTTTGACAGCGTATTTTTAAACGAATTCCCCTCTTCCAATGAAAGCGCCGCCTTGCAATCTTCCTAAGTCTATTCAGTACATACAACATGATTATCTCATTCTTCTCATGATGAAAACTCCTAGAAACATAATGGCAGCGTGATCGACATGCAAATGCGCTCAGCGATGTTGTCTCTTCTTGTAAGGACCAGGAAGGAGGCACCGATGAGGGAGCTCCGGGGGCAGTGGCCGCCCGTGTGGTCAGCCTGCTGAGGCCAGCACGCAGAGTTGACTGGGAGTGAGCAAAGTGACATGCAGAGGCAGGTCTGCCTCTCCCTTGTGGACCAGGGACTCTGAGGGCTCAGGTGGCCAGGATACAGATGCATCTGAGGCAAAAGCTCCAGGAAGGCTTGGCTGGGGAACCTGCTCCCACTCTGCCCCCCGCAAGAAGGATCTGGGAGCCAGCCAAGGGTACACAGTGGGGGATCCCTGCAGGTGGAAAGCTCCCAGGGCTCCTGGCCAGGGTGCAGGGACCCTCCTAAAAGGCACAGACGGCACAGCCCCAGCTCAGAGATGGAGGAGGGCGGCAGGGTGGACAATGAGAGGTGGCCAGACTGGGTCCTGGCCCTGGGCAGCCCCTTCATGCTGGGAGCACCCATACAGGGCCGCAGGCAAGCACCCTCTGTTTCCCCATCGGTAAGGTGAGGCCCTGGCTCCCCTGGCAGTGACTGAGACTAGGTGAGTGCAGAGACCCTGAAACCTGCCAAGGCTGGTGCCCTACACACATTCTCCAAATCTGGACTAGGGCCATCTAGTGCCCTTGTCCAGCATGACAGCAATCTAAGAGGCAGGGCGCAAGTGGAGTCCTTGGGACGCCTCTCCACAGGTGGGGAGAGTGAGGCAGGAATGAGCCGCCCACATTACCACGCCGCTGCAGGGGTTGGGAGGCAGAGAACAGGTGGCTCAGGTAGGCGGGGCTTCTCCAGGTAGGGCCCTGGGACAGCGGCAGCCGCAGCTTCTGGGTCCTTCGCCCGACCCCTGATTCAGAAACCGTGGTTTCAGCCCAGTGATCTGTTGGTCCACAAGCCCCCACGGGATTCAGATGCATGCTCAAGCCTGGGGACCACTGAGGCAGAGGGTGGACCTGGACCACTGAGTGGGAGGACCGGGAGGGGGAGGGGCATTCTGCGAGAATGAGCACTGGAAGCAGAGTCCAACAGCTGAAGCGGGCAGCGGGCACCTGGCGGGGTGGAGTGGGTGTGGACCAAGCCCTCTGCGTCTCCAAGGGTCCTTCTTTGGCGGCTTCAGGCTGCTCCCTGACCCCAAGGTCATCGGCCTAAGGTGGGACCCCCACAGCGGGTGCATTCCCTGGGGTGAGTGATGCCCCCAAAGATGCTCACCTCCTAATCTCTGTAGCCGGTGAATGGGTCGTGGTACAGGGCAAGGGACCTTTTCAGACGTGATTAAGTCAAGGGTCTTGGGATAGGAGAGGACCCTGGGCCCCCCAAGTGAGCTCTAACTCAACACTGGGGGTCTGGTAAGTTGAGGGGAGGCAGGAAGATCAGAGCCAGCAAGAGAAGACATGAGGACAAAAGCCGAGGGCAGGGCAGAGAGAAGTCTCGGGGCCACCAGCTTTGCAGATGGAGGAAGAGGGAGAATCGGCTGGGCACAGACACCCGGCTTAGATACCCAGAGAGACCCCCGCCTGGATCAGAGACTGTCCTAGGAACCCAAGCAGGGAAGGAACAGCCTTGGGTGCAGAAGGTCCTGCCTGTGTAAGGGAAGACTCCACATCAGCCCACAGGGAGGGGAAGTCACTGTTTCCAGATCCTGGTGCAGAGCACACCCCTGGTCCAGCCGCCTGCCCCTGCTGGCCCTGGGGAAGCTCGGTGCAGGGTCTCACCCATAGGCTGGGGCAGCAACTCACCTGGGTGTCCTTGTCCGGTGGCACGTGCGCCAGATCCTGTGCGTGAGAACTAACCAAGCCCCATCTGGGGGGCCCTGGAAGGGGTGGGGACCAGCTTCCAGCCATCCTGTGTGTTTTGGGAGGAGGGGAAGGCTGATGCCTTTTCCGAATCTCAGGCTGAGAATGTTCCAGAACTTCCTGGATGCCACCAAGGTCCTGTTTCGACTGCCACGTGTCCAGCACGGCGTCTGTGACTGAGCGTCCAGGCCGAGGTGCTGCTGGGCTCCTCCCCGTGGCCTTGGGGAATGCAGGGTGGGGTGTCTCCATCCCAGAGATCTGCACCGAGCTCACAGAAGCCCTCGCCTGCAAAAGGAGCTTCCTCTCCACTCCAGATCCAAAGGCACAGCCCGGCAGAGCCTCCCACCAGCCCCCACGCTGTCAAAGCCACACAGGCTTCTGAGACAATCCCGAGGCCCTGAAGTCAGCGTCGGAAGCGGTGGGCTGCCAGCTACACAAAGAAAAACTGGCCCGACAGGAGGGAGGACACGGAATCCCAAAAAAACCAGCAATAATGGACTAAAATAAGATCCACGGCAATAGAAACAGGGGAGGCGACATCACACCATCTTCCCACCCTGCTTCCACCCTCTGATGGGCAGCACAGGCCGGCCGGCCACGGAACGGGCTGGGACCACATGCAATGGCAGCTGTGGGCACCTTGCCTGGGCAGCCCGCGGTGCCTTCAAAGGCCAGCACCAGCCACCTGAGCCCTGGCACACTTCTCACCTGCCTCCCGTCGGCAGGAAGGACCCTGCGTCCCACACCCAGACTGGTCTGGCGTCTGCCTGGCCTATTTTCAGCTGCTAGGGTTGGGCTTCCCCCTAAAGCCACTTGGTATTAAGTCCGGGCTGCCCAGGAATGCGGATTCCTGGGTGTGGCTCCTTCCTGGGCCCCCGGGATGTCTCCCCTTGTGCAGCCCTGACCTAAGTTGGGGTCAGCTCAGGGGGCTGACTGGGCACCAGCAGACCCAGGAGCAGCACCCAGTCCAGTGCAGGTGAAGGCAGAGCCAGGGGCTGGGGGCAGCCTGGGGACTCCAGGAGCAGAGAGGGCCCAAAGTTTTCCATCCAAGGCCTCCTTCCTGCTCAAGTAGCCCAGAACCAGGAGATAAGTGTCACCCCACATCCCAGCAGAATGCCAGAAGCTGGCCAAAAAGGGGCCCAGGGGCATCTGCTGACTCAGGGGCTGGCTTCGTCCTTCCCCGTAGGGTCCCGTGGATGGCATGCAAGGGGAACTGGCCCTGATGGAGCCCAGCCCCCAGCACCTCAGCCCCCTGGCCCCCAGCCCTGTCCTGCAGCACTGCCCATGAACACAGGAGCCAAGCACCATTAAGTACCCACCGAGCCGGGCTGCCTCCAGCAGGGGCTCCATGCAGGGCACAGGAGGGTTCTGTGGCGAGAGCCACAGGGGAGGGGATGGAGACCCATGAGCTGGATGTCTTGACCCTGGCCCCAGCCGCTCCCAGGCTGCTGCCCACCCCATCTGGCCATCCTCCACTATGACCCATGGGCTCTCGGTCTCCCGCTGGGGAGGAGCTGACACAGCCCCTCCCTGGAGGGCACCAGAGGTCACAGCCCCTTCGGGCTATTCCTGGCTTCCCACTGGAAGTGTCTTGCCCTGTGCTCAGCAGGCTCGCCCTCTGTCCCCCCAGGACAGAAACATGGTGGACAGCAGACCCTCTATACCTTGGAGCTGGGAGGCCTCCCAGCCAGAGTGCCAAGGGATAGGCCAGCCCGGGGACATGCAGGCTCCTTGGGCAGACTTATAGTTGACCCCAAACTTCCACCCACAGGCCCGTGTGACCCTCCACGAGTGGCCACAAAACGCAGACAGATTCTCAGGGAGTCTCTCCCGTGGCCTGGGCTGTGAAGGGCACGTCCTTCCTCACTGGGCGGATGAGAGACTCAGGCCCGGTGCCTGACTCCCTCAGGCAGATGAGAGGACTCGCCCTGTGCCAGGGCAGGGCTTCAGGCTGCCTCTTGTGGGGGGGCCTAACCTTGCCTGGCCCTGCACCCACCCCAGGCAGCCTCAGTTTCCGGAAGTGGAGGGTGAGGGTGTAGAGTCACAGCCCCAGCCCCCAGGGGCCCACCACCCACTGAGAGGAGACTCCAGGATGGCGCAGGACGGAGCCAAGCCCTGGGGCTGTGGGTGCCAGTGGACGGGAGGCGGCCTTCTCCAGCCCTGGGGGATCTGCATCCCCCAGCCCATGGGCGCATCCCCCAGCCACGGCCATTCCGGGAGCCTGTCACCCATTCAGAGCTCCTGAGGCAGCTGCTGCCCTTCCCACCTGCAGACACAAGGCCCAGAACCGCCACAGGCTCTGCCACTGAGACCACAGGTGGATGCTGGGGACAGAGGGAGGGCGGGGGGGGGAGGTTCCAGTCTTGGACGGCAATCACCAGCCTTGGGCTGTCCACCTCAAGCTTCCCCGTGGGCAAAAACCTACACAATAAAACGTCCTGGCTGTCATGTGTTCCGTTCCTTGCAGACACGTGTTCTGGGAATCCGTATCCAAAGGAATATGGCCACAAGGAAAGTAACCACGAGGTGCACCAGAGCCAGCACTCCACTCTGCCCTCCGCATCTGGAGGGTGGGCACGGGCTGGCCGGGAGCTCGGCCTCTGTCCTCCCTGTGGCCCGAGCCCCACCCCGAGTTTGGCATGGGCAGGAGCCCCAAATCTACCGTCCTCTGCACCCTCCACACGAAGCTCATCCTGGCCCTGATGCCAACTCCAAGTTTACAGATGCCAGGTGAGAGCCGAGAGCCCCGCTAAGGAGCCCGACAGCACCAGAGGTGGGCACGATGCTTTAATGAGAAGCCCAGCGAGGACCGGGGCAGTTCCGGGCTGCGAAGGAACCTTCTCTCCGTATTTACCTTTCACACCTAAAGGACGGGGTCCGTCTGCAGACACGCGTCTGCCGTCTCTGGTGCGGCTGACTGGATGGATCCCTGAAACCCACATTTGTAACAAACACCATTCATCGCAAGCACGACACCCATCCTGGAAACAGCACTTCAGGATTTTTTTGTTTTTATCACCAGCTTAATGATGACTAATGCCTGGGTGATTATCCTGTGCTTTTTTATGTGTGGCAGGGAGAACAAACAATATCATTAGCATTGCAGAAAGGAGAGAAAATGGGAGCGTGAGGTGGGGGCAAAGCCAAGCGAAAGTCGAAAGTCGGGCGGGAAGGAAGCTCCTGCCTGGCAAGAGGGCGGCTGCAACCTTAATCCCAGGGGTCCCTGGGCCGCGATCTGGAACCTTCCATTCCTCACTGTTGGATGTTGCAAAATAGAACAGGCCCAAATCGGGGGAGGGGTTCCTGGAAGGCACAGACATTACTTTTTAAAGTGCCCAGATGTGCATTTAAAACCAAGTCCTGCTGGGTAAACAAAGCCACAGCAGCGATGATACGGCAGTTAAGTGGCGAGATGGGCCGGAGGAAGCCCATTCACAGCCTCCCCACATGCCCCGATCCTGCAGGACGACAGCCGTGGTGGGAAGAATTCAACAGGCAATCAATTTCCAAAGAAAATCCAACCTCCCACGCACACAACCCTACAAAGAGACAGCTTTTGAACACGCCAGAACTCAGCCACCTGGGCTCTTCAGGGATTGGCTGCTTCTGGTAGGGACGGGTCCTCCCCTGCGTAGATCATGGCCTCTCATCCCACTCTGGGACCCCCCGGCCCTGGCCTGAGGGACGTGCTGAAGCCCAGGGTCTGCAAGACAGCGGCCCCTAAACAAGACGAGAGGACGTGGAAGCAGTTTCTGGCAACATAAGGGAAGGCTGCCTGTTCCCTTGGGCCCAGCAGGCTCTCTCCGCCCCTCTGCACTGGTGTGGGCAGTCCATGCCCCCTCTTGCTGAAGGCCAAGCCAGACTGCCCCAGCTCTGCCCCAAAGCCCCTGCCCAACTGTTCTGTCTCCGAATGCCTCACATCCGTCTAGGACCACCACCAAATTAATCTCAAGTCCCCAACGGCAGGCATTCTGGCTCTCCCTCCCCGACGTGGCATTGCTGGGTGCAGGGGCCTCTCCAAAACGCTTCCTCTGATAGGCTGTTCCACCTGCAGAATCAGATGGCAGTCGGCCACTTCACCAGCTGACGGATGAGCTGTGGGTGTTGGAACAGCCTCAGGCCCCAGGCCTTTGGGTGAGCCCATGCACTGTGGAATGGACAGAAGGATGGATGTAGCCAACAGATTCCCAGTGTGGCCTGGGCCCAGCTCGTTCCAGGGACCCCCGCGCCTGCCCCGAGGGTGGCGTGTTAGTGTCCTGTGTCTGCCATAACAAAATCCCACAAACCCAGCACCTCACACAGTGGCAATTATTTTCACACAGTTCTGGGGACCCGGAGTCCAAGGTCAAGGTGTCGGCAGGACGGTTCCCTCTGGGAGCTCCAGCTTCCAGCGTGGCTGGCCACCCCACACCTCCTTGGCTGCCAGCCCTGTCACCCCCATCTCCACCTGTTTCCACAGGGCATTTTCCTCTGGGTCTCAGTGTCTCTCTGCATCTTCTAAGGACACTGGGCATTGGATTCAGGCCCCACCCAACTCTAGTGTGACCTCAACTTAACTAATTCAATCTGCAATAACCCAATTTCCAAATAAAGTCACATTCTGAGGTTCCAGGGGACATAATTCCCGCTGAGCACAGTGGTGCTGCCATTACCCTGTTTCCATGGCACAGAGAGGCTGGGTAACTGGTCCAAGGTGCAGCCAGGAATGGGACGGGCAGCAGACACGGAGCCTGCTCTGCTCACCTCCCTCCAACAGAGAGGCCCCGAAGGGTTCCATTCCTTACAGCACTCCAGTTGCCCATGAGGAGCCCAGGGCTCCAAAACGCATTTGCCTGCCACCGCCCTCAGCTTCCGCTGAGCTGTTTCAGCTTCTGATCCTGGTCCAGGCCTCCTGCTTGTCCCACCTCCCACCACTCCCCGTCTCTCCTGGCCCGGCAGCCACAGAAGGCCCAGACCCCAAGTCTGCATTCACGGAGGACACTCCCCATTGACATAAAAGGACGTGTGTTTTGCCCGGGATGGCAGAGAAGACCCAAGATCAGAGGCGGCAAGACTCCTGAAGGGCCGCCCTGGAGACCACAGCCTGTGGCATGGACACTCCGATTCTCAGTCTGAGAAGCACGGCCCCTGCGACTGCGCGATTGCGTAATAAACAGATTAGAGCACCAGGCACCAGAGTTATTAGAAGTGAAAGGTCCTCGAAGGGAAGACGCGGGATTCTTGGAGCCTCCTACAAATATGTAATGAAATTTAAATTGAATCTGGTTTAAAATCATTTACCTTTTGACATCATATATCAGTACACTAAGCATCAGTTGAGAAAGCAAATAACCTTTCAAGCAGAATGAAAAATTACTCTGTCTCTTTTGATTCCGTGTTAATTTTCAAATTTAAACTACCCTATAGCTCTTGGTCTGGGGTCAGCCACTGAAGGCTGCTGACTCGGTGAGGTCCAGCCCAGCCGGTGGAGACCCCGGGGGTCCTCCCGGCCGCACCCTCCCTCCAGGGTGGCCGACAGCTCTGGAGGGACAGGTGAGCTGAGGGACAAGTGAGCTGGGGGACAGGTCAGCTGCGGGACAGGTGAGCTGGGGGCTGCTGGCCACCTGGTCACCCTAGGGGGAAAGGGGGATGGGGCGGCTCTTGTGTGTCCCTCCTGCAGGTGGGTAAAAGTATCGTTCTTCTCTTCCATGTGGGTGTAAAGAGTCACCAGGCAAAGAGGTGACAGCACTTGCCTATCCCAGGGTGATCCTGGGCACAGCACTCCCAGAAAGAAGCTGGGCTGGAGCCTCGCTGGGCGTGATGGTGACCGTAGGGAGCCCATTTCCTCTGCAGGCTCCCCGTTCTCATCAGGGATCTCAGGGCTCCCCTCGGTCGGCCTCCCTGCTGGGCAGCCCTTCTCTGGAGAGTTGACCTCCCAGGCTGGAGGGGAAGGCCGGCTCAGTGACAGGAACTGGAGAACTGTGGGTTCTCTCCAAGCCTTTGCCTCAGAAGCTGAGGTTCTGGAAAAGAGGCAAAAGCCCTCGTTCTCCTGTGGGCAGGGGCAGCCACGAGGAGGAGACACGGACGGACATCCCAGGTGGGGCAGAGGCGAGGCACACTCAGGAAACCCTCTCAGACATCCCCCTCCTGCGGTTTGCGGAGGACGGGCACCTGTTCGAACCAGCCTGGAAGCACCTCTAGCTCTCTGCACAGAGATCCTAGGGGCAGGGGGCCCTATTGTCCCCATTTCACAGAGGGGAGGGCTGAGCCTCAGGGAGACCCCGCAGTACAGGAGGGAGAATTAGGTCTGAAATGCCAGGGCCAGATACCCAAATCCCACGTGGGCTCCAGTGGGCACCGTCTCAGCTCCTGCGACCTGAGGGTGGAGAAGGTCTCCCAGACCTACCAGGTGGCCTGACAACATGAGAGGAGCCCCCCAGGAAGCAGCAGGGCTGCCTGGTGGGCCTGGGGGGATTCTTCCTTGAAGTCCACTGCTGGGCCTGCCCATCCAGCCGCCTGTGACCATGGCCAGCATTCAGAGAGGACGTGGAGCCTGGGTTCCTGGGGCCTGCTGGTATTTCTTAATCAGGGAGGAGATACAAAGGGGCTTTTCATGATGCTGCCCCCGCAGCGTCACATGTGAGCGCCACTGGGCTGGAAAACAGAGGGGGCTTTGCCAGAACCTCACCCCCACCCGCTGCGCCTGCCCAGAGAGGGTGGGGGAGGAGCAGCCCACAGAAGGGCCAGGGGAAAGAGGGGAGGCGGCAGGCAGGGCCGGCCCAGGGGAAAGGGAGGAGGTGGTGGGGCAGGGCCGGCCCTGGGAAGCACACAGGACAGCCTCACCGCAGCTGCTGGACATGGGGATCCCAGCATCCCAGCAGCAGGACTGGGCAGCCCTGGCCCAGTCCGGGGTCTGTGCATGCCCCACATGAGGGGCTGGTTCCCACCAGGATGCAATTCAAGGCCTCTGGTGGCACAGGGCCCAGCGGGCTGTCAGAACCCAGATGTCTGAGTGCAGGGCAGAGCAGCCCAGCATCCTCGGTGGAGAGCAGCATGGGGCTCCAAGGCCCAGGGCCAGGTCGCAGTTTGCTCCTGGGACACTGCCTGGAACCCTGTGCTCACAGCAGTCAGCCCTTGGGCAGCTGGGGAGGGACGGCAGAGGCAGGGCATGGGCACATCCTAAGAGGAGGTGGCGGGGGTCTCAGGGCTGCTTCCCATCATGCACCTCCCAGCCGCCCTGGGTGGCTAGGACCCTCTGAAGTCAGACCTGGGACCTGGGACCTGGGACCTAGGGAGGACAGGGCCTGCTCAGCACCTGCTGGCGTAGGCTGGGCCCAGAGCCGGTCCCTGCTGGACGCTGTAGCAGTTGCCCTGGCTTCCCTGCTGGGGACAGGAGAGAGAGGACCTCAAGTGGACGTCCGAGTGCCCAGTCTGGAGAGGACTCTGCAGGCTTTGCTTCTGAAGGTCTGTGAGAGCAGGAGCTTCCGCAGCTGGGGGAATGGCTGCCATGGGAGGGATCGCTCCCTAGGCAGGGGCCTTTTTCTGGGGTGACGGAAACAAGAACTCGGCTGCAGTGGGGCCGGCAGAGTGCCGTCTCAAACAGGGTTCATTCTGTTATGTGAATTTTGCTAAGCAAAAAATAAATACATAAGACATTTGAAAGCCTGTAAGGGCAGCCCGACCCTTCTGAGGGCAGGCCCCGGACGGGGCTGTGCACATCCCCACAGGCCCCGCCACACACTGCCTGGCACGGCTGTGAGGCCACAAGCACTGCCCCGGAGGCGGGTCAATGCTTGTCTGGCAGGGGCTGCAGCCACCAACCTCCTGGAAGGCATTGGCCACCTCCTCCTCCATCTAAATTTGGGGGATTCTATGAAGGGCCACCCCTGTCCTGAACCACATTCCCCGAGCCCAGACATGGGACGCTAAGCAGGGGCCAGGAGAGGCGTCCTGTGCAACCCGGCTTCCCTCTGCAGTGCTCAGAGCGGGGCTCACCTTGCCGCGACTGTGGCCTTCTCCAAGGCATTCCCAGGCTCCAACAGGGAAGAGGCCCACAGCTCCTGCCGAGAGTAGGGGGCAGGCCCCCATTTCGCTCAGCAGCAAATGTCACAGATGATGGTGACGATGTCTGCACTGCATATCCCACTCACTTAAATTACACCGAAACCACGCGGCCCCGAGGTCGCGGTGACGGGGACTGGGGTTCACAGGCATTAAATGGCACAAAGGGGGTGGGCTGCGCTGAGATCACCGGGAAGAGCATTAAGAAAGCAGTTAATATGTAGTTAAAAAACTCCTAATCTCCACGAGCATATGCCGTTTCACCTAATTTTGATCAACTTAAATGTAAAAACGTCTCGGTGCCTCCATGCAGGTTTCGCCGCCATCTGGTTTAATTAGTCCTTGGGTATCGCGCCATAAAGTTAATGGCAAGCGCGTTGCCGGGCCAATCAGAAAGCGACGCTGAGGCCTTATTTCACCAAGTCCGTTTCTCCTCAACTTGCCGCTGGGTAAGGTCAAGGCCGGAGGGGGCTGAGCGGCGGTGAAGGCGGGGCGCAGGGAGTGAGGCTGGGACGGGTAGGGTGGCTGCCTGGGTTGCTTTTCCCTGATTAGGGTGGGGGTCTCTGAGTTCAGCCCATCTGGAGGAAGGACCCTGCCCACGAAGACTGATGCAGACCCCTGGGGGAGCCCAGAGGTGGGCTTTGAGAGGAGGAGCCCGCAGAGACCCCCGCCTCCTGGCAAATACCAGTTCCTGTTCTGAGATGTGGCCTCAGTAGCTTTGCCCACTGGGCCCAAGCCCCGGCACCGCCACTTCCTCTTCATGCCCTCCACACTCCCTCGCTCCGCCTGGAGCCAGCAGCGAGGCCTCAGGGGTGACCTTGGAATCGGGCAACTAGAAGGTCAGGGGTCCCCTGGAAAAGAGAGGTCCCCGAGGAAAAGGAGGACCCAAGGGAGAACAGATGAGCAGGTGGGAAGGCAGGAGAGGAACTGTGAGAGGGGAAGGAGAACAGGGCGGATGGAGGAGTTGAGGTCCCTGTGGTCTGAAGTCAAGGCACTGAAGGACAGGGGCGGATGAAGGTGACTCAGGAGAAGGTCCCCTGCAGGGGTCAGGCAGGACGGCAGACAGGGAGCTGCAGTCAGGGTGACCCACCTGCATTCAGAAGCCTACTGCTGAGGGGACGCCGCCTGCCCCAGCCCTGGGCTCCAGAATTTGCCAGCTCTGCACCTGCTGACCTGAGTCTCTGCTCCTTTCCACAATGATTCCTCAATGAGGTTCAGCCACTTGCTGGCTGGGAGATCCATGGCATGTCCAACTTTGGACATCCATGTTTTCACCCCAAAAATGGAGATGGCAGCACTTGCCTGATATGGTTTGGAGATTAGAGATGATCTGTGGAAGCGCCACCCCAATGTCAGCCTAGCGTCACTTAGACAGTCCCATTAGTGTCACTTCAACAATCCAAGAGGCTGTCAGACATAGTAGAGCAGGAAAGTCACATGACCAGTGGATTTTCCCTTTTTGCCTTTTCTGCCAGGAAGCTCAGAGCTATATTTTGTGCTCAATTTTTAGTAGTTCCCAGTAGTCTAGGATGGTGGGTCTCCACTGGGACAAGTCACCTGGCTGGCATGGGTGGGGGACTGACTTCCAGGCTATCCACGCTGCCCGGCTTATAAGCCACCTCCGGGCAGGATCTTCAGGGTGGTTCCCTGTTTCCTTGGGACACTGAAAACCATGCCGCTGCAGAGGTGGCTGGGGTCCTGGAGGGACAGGAGCCAAGGCCACCTCAATTAACCCCATGTTAACTATCAGACAGAGAGAGCTGAGACACAAAGGTCACGGCAAAGTTACTCCCTGACTACCAAAATTAAATCTATGAAGAAGGAACGGGCTTTCAATGAATTTATTAATCAATTTGACAATTCCTGGGGATTGTAATATAAAAATAATCAGTTGGCCGTCGCGCCAACGTGAGATGCCAAGAAGGTGTCATTTAATTTTCCAGTGCCTACCACCTTAACTTATTTTACATTAATTGAGATGGAAATTTCCTAATCTGGAATTTCCGAGAAGCGTGCATTCATTTCATCCCGAGCCTGCCCAGCGGTGCAGTGGCAACTCCTCGGCACGGCTTGGGGTGCAGCCAAGGTCCCTGACACTAGCCTTGACCTCCAGCCTTGACCTCCATCCAGGCACCAAGCTTCTTTCTCAGACCCTCGAAGGACTCAGCCCCAACATGGGGATTCTGCACCCCCGAGAGACCTGTGGAGCCTTCCCACTGGAGGCTGAGATCTCAGAGGGAAGGGACAGGAAACGGAAGGGCAGGAGGGGTCTTCTGAGGGCTAGATCGCCCCTTTCCCTCCTGCCCCATTGGGTAGCTGAGTCCCCTCATCCAAGCTGAGGACACCAGGCCAAGCACCCCTCTTTGGCCCCTGCAGCGCCCGACAGGGCTGCCAGCTCCAGCCCTGGTGACTGGCCCTGTGATCGTGGGCAGACACCCAGGAGAGCAAGGCACGGCTCCTCATCCTGCAGACTGCCCAAGGCCAGGGCCCTGTCAGAGCCACGGGGCAGACGCGGGCTCCGGGGCACACAGGCCAGCTGCTCAGCTTCGCTCAGCCTCGTACCGCTCAGAGCCCTGGCCTGACCTCAGCCTTGGGAAGTGTCCAGGTCCTGGAGCCTGACATGGGTCCGGCCACACTGCAGGGAGAAGCCAGCATGGAGTGGCACCCAATAATCACCAGCTTGTCCTTCTACGGGGACTCCCAGGGCCACCCTCTGAGCAAGAGGAAGGAGAACGGCACTAACAAGGCACATACGGTGAGTCCTCACTTAACGTGGACCGGGGGTCTTGGCAACTGCGACTGGAAGCAAAGCGGCCTGTGAGAAAACGCTTCAGCACGACAGGAAAACCAGCTGAGGGAGGCGACGCTGCTCCAGGACCTGCTGCTGCCTTTCTGCTGAGAGTCACAGCTTCCAGTGCATACCACCCATGCTGCCTGAGGACTTCCTGCAGCTGTGTGGGGTGGGCTGACAGCGTTACAGAGGGGCCCAAACCCTTTCCCTGTCCAGGAAACACTCCGCACGTACACAGCCCTCTCCAGGGAGGAAACGCCCCCAGGGAGTGGCTGTGCCAGACGACAGGTATGAGGCCGCTCCCCCACCCCAAACTGGTCTGGGTTTTGGTGCCACCGTATTTCAGATGTGGCTGCTTTCCTCTTGTTTTCAGTCAGTCTCTTTGTTTTTGTTTTGTTTTGTTTTGAGATGGCTTCTTGCTCTGTCTCCAGGCCGGAGTGCGATGGTACGATCTTCACTCACTGCAACCTCCACTTCCCAGGTTCGAGCAACTCTCCTGCCTCAGCCTCCTGAGTTGCTGAGACGACAGGGTGTGTCACCACGCCCAGCTAATTTTTGTATTTTGAGTAGAAACAGGGTTTCACCATGTTGTCCAGGATGGTTTTGATCTCTTGACCTGGTGATCCACCCGCCTCGGCCTCCCAAAGTTTTTTTGTATTTTTAGTAGAGATGGGGTTTCACCACATTGGCCAGGCTGGTCTCGAACTCCTGACCTCAAGTGATCCACCCACCTCAGCCTCCCAAATTGCTGGGACTGCAGGCGTGAGCCACAGCTCCAGCCAGTTAATCTCTTTAAAATGCCACCTCTCCTTGGGAGGAGCAAAAGGGGATCCTTTCCTCTCTGCAGGAGAGGCAGTGAAGGGGCCGCCCCACACTCGGCAGGGTACCTCCTCCACCTCCTCCCACCAGGAAGCCAGCAGGGGCTCAGTCACCTTGCAGCCTGGTCCACCAGGCCAGGCACACACAGAATCAGGGTGGCAGGGGCCCGTTGCTACTTGCCCCAAATCCCCACCTGAGCCGTGGCCATCAGCTCCTGGTGGCCCTCCCTGCAGCTCTGTGCCCCGGGGCTCCAACCTCGGTCACCAGCCTCAGCCTATCGATGTCCAGGAGTGAGTGCTCCTCTCCCCTCAGCAAGCCCCGTTCTGCATCTGTAACTGAGTCCGCATCTGAAGCCCACCTGACTGCCCAGGACCAGGCATCAGCCTCGGTTTCCGGGGGCATGCAGGTGCAGGCAGGCGCCCCTCTCAGCAGTTACCCCTGGCCCTCCCAGGTGGGCAGAAACTGTCAGCACAGTCTTGTGAGGCTCCACAGGTGACATTCATTTCTGATACCTGAAGAGACAGGCCTGCGTCAGGACCTGTGGGTACTGGGCCGGGTGACAACCCTGAGAAGGGAGAATGACTTCCTGGGAGCTCAGGGGTTGGGCCTGGCAGAATTAAAGGGGCTTTGTCCAGCAGATGCCCTGTCTGTTGGAAAAAGCACAGAGTTTGGTCTTGGCTTTAGCGAATCTCTTCCATGAAACAGAAATTGAGAACTGCGTTTCTGCAGACCTGCAGTGGGGGCTGATTAAAGGACACTTCCCAACAGGAATGAGCTCCTGTCCTTAGAAGCAGCCTCCCCTCCCCCCGGGAGCCACATCACGCCTCTCCCTGTAGACGCACAGCCCCAGGAGACAGCCAGGAGGAGGAGGAGGAGGAGGAGGAGGAAGCTCTGGGAAACATCAGCCACCTGACCCAGTTTACCAAGGAGCAGGAGACAAAAGATGACAGGCCCCTCAAAGGTGGCTTTTCCAGTGGGAGTCCAGGCTGGTCGGTTTCTCTGCTGGCAGGCGGTGACCAGGGTCTGTCCACGCATGAAGCAGAAGCCGCAGGGGTATGACTGGGGCCCGGGACCCCCAGCGGCCTCCTCCAGGGCTGCCCCTGCCTCCGGAGTCTCTGCACTACCACTTGCAGCAGAGACCAGCTCCGGGTCGTACGATGTCCTGGCTGACCTTAGAACTACGTGGTCACCAGGTGCGCATGTCCCTATGACAGATGACAGCAACGTCCATGATGGCCAGGACACACAGGGTGCCCAGCCCCTCCCTCCTCACATCAAGGAAGGAGTGAGAAATCCTCCAAAGATGGACTTTTGCAAACAACTCACCTATTTCTTTAAGTCCTCAAGCGCTTGCTTTTGAGTGTTGGAAGGAAGTCTAAGAAATGTCTGCAATGCCCACAGCTGCCGGCCTGGGAGGGTCAGGGACCAGCGGGAACGAACACAGGCCTCAGAGTCCACACGAATTCCAAATCCCCCTCTCCCTTGATTTGCCTGGAGCCAGATGGCTCAGAGCACAGTGAGTATGGGGGAGGTAAGCCAGGAGAGCATCCTGGAGGAGGAGGCCTTCAAACCCAATTTCACAGGGCCTGCTCAGTGACACAGCCGGGTTCCCCCACCCCAGAATGCAGCATTGCCCTACAAGCGGCTCATGGGAGATCCGTGCTGTTCTTTTCTCTGAAACCTGGAGTTTCTTGAAGGTTTGCCTCGCGTTTCCTTCTCAGGCTATAACCACTAAGAGCCAGTATGTTTGCCAAAGCAGCCAGGGCTGAACGTCAGCAAGAGCAGCGGGGATACCCGGCCGTCTTCTGAGCAGTGTCTGTTCATACCTTCGTCTGCTTTCCGTGAGATTATGTGGGCGCTTTTTGCTGTTGAGCGGAGTGCCTTGTGTTAACACGTTCTGGATCTTAGTCCGGCGGAGGCAGAGCCGGCCGCGCCCCGCTCCACAGGTGGACTCCCTCTCCGCCTGACCGTTTCGTCTGCTGTGCAGAAGCTTTTGGGTTTGATGTGACCCCAGTCGTCTGCTTCTGCTTCTCTTGTCTTGCTTTTGAAGTCTGCCCCATAGAACCTCTGCGCAGGCCGACGTCCAGAAGCGTTTCAGGTACGTTTCCTTCCAAAGTTTCCTGGTTTCGGGTGGTACATTTGTGTCTTTCGTCCATTTTGAGTGTTTTGTTCTTTACAGTGTGAGAGACAGGGCTGTCGTTTCATTCTTTTGCACGCGGACACCCAGTTTCCCGGCACCACTCACTGAAGAGGGTGTCCTTTCCCCAGCGGGTGTTAAAAGGCTCAGCATCGCTGATCATCACAGAAATGCAAATCAGAGCCACGATGATACCATCGCAGCCAGTCAGAATAATGGTCACCAGGAAGACAAAAACAGAAAGAGGGGTGCTGGCAAGGATTCAGAGCAAAGGGAACCCGCATCCACGGCGGGCAGGAGTGTAAATCCGCCAGCCACCGAGGAAAACGGCACGGTGCTGTCTCAAAAACTGAAAATAGCACTGCCCCATGATCCAGCAATCCCACTGGGTATTTATCCAAAGGAAAACAGCGTATCAAAAGGATAGCCACAGCCTCCTGTTTACCAAGCCCTGTCACAAGAGCCAGACATGGAGGCAGCCTGAGTGTGCGTCGGCAGACGCGTGGGTGAAGGAAAGGGGCCACGCACAGCCTGGAATAGTATTCAGCCAGAAAGAAGAACGGAATCCTGTCATTCACAGCTGCACGCCTGGCCCTGGAGGGCACTATGTTAAGTAAAACAAATTAGGTACAGAAAGACAAAGTCCTCCTGCTCTCACTCACACGTAAGAGCGGAAAAATATCGAGCTCATGGAAGCAGAGAGAATTATGGTTATGAGAGGCTACGGAGGGGAGGACGCTAGAAAGAGGCTGGCTACGGGACACCAAATCACAGCTAACGGGGAGAAATAAGCTGTAGTACTCTGTGTACAAGGTCAGGAGTTTGAGAGCAGCCTGGCTAACATGGTGAAACTCTGTCTCTACTAAGAATACAAAAATTAGCCGGGTGTGGTGGCAGGTGCCTGTAGTCCCAGATGCTACAGGGAGGCTGAGGCAGGAGAATCGCTTGAACCATGAGCTGCGTCCTACAGAAAGGATTCCGGAGGCACCCACGTCCCCCGTGGAGCACAAGCCTGCGGGAAGGTTCTGGACCCCACGTTCCTGGATGGAAAAAGGTTTTCTTTTCCGAGGCCACACGGGTTACACTGAAAAGTGCAGCCAGGTCTCTGGGATTCAGGGAGTCGTCCCAGGACACTGGGAAAAGCCTCTTGCACTGACGAGTTCCTGGAATGACCTGGACACAGTCAGCCCCACAGGGATCCCCTGTCCCGGCCTCAGCACACCCCAGGAGTCTGCGCGGCTCTGTGTCTTTCACTCCAAACAAAGCGGAGCCAGGCCAACCGGCATGTGGGAGATGCCACCCAGCAGGGCGCCCAGACTCACGCCCTCGCCAGCCCAACTGCCCGGGAGGAAAAGAATGTGACTGGACTCCTTCAAGTGACGGTGTCCACCACCCAGCCCGGGGAACTCCCTCTCCAAGGCCTGCTGCCCCCCTGCCCAGACCCCAGAAGCCCTTCTGCCGCAGGGCAGCCCGCATGGGGAGGGCTTCCTAAGCACAGCTGGATTAAGAACGGATGTCTGCTAAACAGAATGATCCCCTGGGTGACCTCTGAGCTGTAAGATAAGGTGGCCTGGCCCACTCTGCCAGCCTGTCACCTGGATGGCCTCCAGTCCAGAGCACCCCCCTCCAAGCTCAGTGGACCCAAATCTCACTCGGTTGCCTCTAGAAGTGCCCGCTCCATCACCGGTGCCAAAAATGAAGAGTCAGCAGGTGGGTGCTGGGTTCCAGGGTCGAACCTGCGTTAGGCATGATGCACAGAGCAGGTCCCCACCTGGCTTACGGAGCCGGCCTGAGAGTGAGTGTGTGGCCCTGGGTAACAGCCCTGAGCTCGCTCGGCACCCCCCACACACTCCGGGTCCTATGGTGCTAGTGCGTCGTGGGGATGGGCTATTTCCCAGAGTGTGACCGACAAAAGCCATCTGACGTCTGAGGAGCTGATGGGGGCGTGAGCGTCATCCAACATCACCATGGGGACAGGGGCACTTGGGGCTTTTAGATATTCTCCCGTGTTCAAAAACACTTTCTTTTTCATCTGAGAACCTCAAAATGATGGAAGCAAAGTAGATCAAAACATGAGCACTTTCTGCAAATGTACGTCTCTTTTCACCAACGAAACACTAATTCTGATTAAAGCGCAGTCTTTCTGAAGACTCAGTTTGTACCTGGAAGGCAGCCCGTGGCTGGAAACAGAAGGCAGACTGGGAAGCCCTTGGCTACCAGCTTGCACTGTCCTGGGCACTTCTGGTGACACGTTTTCCTGTTTCCTCCATGTGGGGAGCCCCTGTCTCTAGGCTGTGGGTTCTGACACCTTCCCAAGCTAGGAGTTCACATCTGCTCTGGCAAGGGCTGTCCATGATGGGCTTGGCATAAGGCAAGAGGGACACCAGGGCAGACGTATCGGCACTCAGGGGCCCGCGGGTCAGGGGCTTCCCACACACCTGGCACCAGACAGAGTTTTCACGACTCACGTGTTCAGCAAATGCACACATCCCACCTGTGCTCCCGAGGTCCTTCCCAGGGGGTCTAGAACTCTTCTCTCTGGAAGCCCCTGCCTGCTCCAGCTTGCAGATGTGGCAGAGGCCTGCTGATGGGTTAGCCCTCAACGGTGCAGCACAGAGGGGTCGCCCGCTGCCTCCTGACACAGCCACAGAAACCCGAAAATGAGCCAACAAGACTCACAGACGACTGCACGGAAGAGCACGGGAAGGTCCCACGTGGCTCTGGGACCCGCGTCCTCCCACCTCTGCAGGGCAGGAGCCAAGAAGCAGAAATGAGCACCAATTAATGAACATAAACAAGAGTCCTATAAGGACCCATTAATGTCTTCAGCTCCATCCTGGGATGTGCTATCAGGAAATGCAATGCTACAGAAGTAACCTGGAAACGCAGCAAAAGCGTCTTTTCAGAATAGAGGCCACTCTTAGCCGGGCACGGTGGCTCAAGCCTGTAATCCCAGCACTTTGGGAGGCCGAGGCGGGTGGATCACGAGGTCAAGAGATCGAGACCATCCTGGTCAACATGGTGAAACCCCGTCTCTACTAAAAATACAAAAAATGAGCTGGGCATGGTGGCACGTGCCTGTAATCCCAGCTACTCAGGAGGCTGAGGCAGGAGAATTGCCTGAACCCAGGAGGCGGAGGCTGCGGTGAGCCGAGATCACACCATCGCACTCCAGCCTGGATAACAAGAGCGAAACTCCGTCTCAAAAAAAAAAAAAAAAAAAAAGGAAATACAAAGATTAGCCAGGCGTGGTGGCAGCCGCCTATAATCTCAGCTACTGGGGAGGCTGAGGCAGGAGAATCACTGGATCCCAGGAGGCGAAGGTTGCAGTGAGCCGAGATCACGCCACTGCACTCCAGAATGGGAGACAGGGCAAGATGCCATCTCAAAAAAAAAAAAAAAAAAATCCAAAGAGAGGCCACTCTGGAGTCTGAGCAGCATTTAGAAGTTTCAGAGCCATTAACCCTGTACCTGCTGCAAAGCCCTAACAGAAAAGCACACCTGGAAGGCTCAGCTCCCCCAGAAATGCAACACCAAGGCATGGGCCCGAGGCATGGAACGTGTAATAAAACTAAATACACACAAGGCGCTGAAATGACGACAGACTGGCTCTCTCCCAGTGCAATCCCATTCTGTGTTTATCTCAGACCATGGGCCTTAACAAAGCTCCAGGCAGATTCCTTTGCAGGTCAGTCAGGTCAGGGAGACTCGCCGGGCCTCTTGTTTTCCAACGGAGTTTAACCATAAATACGTAAATTCTGAGATGTTCATTGTCATAAAATTTGTATCGGTTTTTCTAAACAGGTGGAAACGGTCGTGGTAGAGACAGTGGCTGGGCCACAGGCTGGCAGCAGTGGGAGAACCACACTGACACATGAACTGGCCCTTCCATCTCTAAGTTCGAACCTGAAGACAAGGCAGGTGCATGGGGCGGAATGGCCGCCGTGCCCTGAAGTGACGCACGCCCGATCCCTGCAGCTCCATTCTGCCCCTTGTTTCAGGAAACCATTCCAGGCCCGTCAGTAAGACCTGGGCGCTGGGCTGTGGGTCTGGGTGTAGCAGGGACAGGTGGACCCTGCAGAGCACAGAGAGTGGTTGAGAAGAGCGGCCACACTCACGAACCTGGCTCAGCCCTCACTCCGGCACACCCCTGAGGCCTCCAGGGGACAGGAAAGGAGCTGCCTTTACAGTCCCGCACTGTGCCTCAGCCCCAGTTCCCGTTGCTGCATCCCGTCAGACTCCCTGGGGCCTGTGAGGCCTGGAATGTCGGCACAGCTCAGCCTTCCAAGCCCTTCCCACTGCATCCTCATCCCTCCTCTACCTCTCCCTGGGCACCCCCGAGTGCCCCTTCCCCTGGAGAGATGAGCCAGGACCAGGAGGGCAAGCAGGAGAGAAGCAGAGCCAGCCACCTGAGTTCACACCGCCAGGCTTTACAGGGCACCACCCAGGTACTGGGGCCTGTCTCCAGGAGAGAACGTCCAGACATAAGGACAGGAAAATGCACCAGAAACTGAATGGCAAATGGGCCTTGGGTTTGCTCAGAGCAGGGTGGGGAGCCAGGCCTCGGCACACTGCAGACTCCAGGGGCTGACCCAAGGTGCATGGTGCCCAGGACAGAAAGTCCCACTCCGACCAGTAGGCATTCAGGGCACAACTCCTCAGGGATTTGGAATGTGAGCCAGTCCGATGGCAGCAGGGAGGCAGGGGCTCACCAGGGTGGAGGCAGAGCCACTCACAGCCCGAGACAGGCAATGGCTCAGAATGTCTGGTGTGGGGGGGATGGGAGGGGGTAACAAGGGAGGCAGGACCAGAAGCCCTGGGAATGCCTGGCTGGCTGGTCTGGAGGTGACAGGGGCAGAGTGGCAGTGCCCATGGAAGGGGCCTGGGGCAGGCAGTGAAAGGTGACCTTGAGGCTGACCTTGGAAGATACGCCCCTGACAGGGCCCCAAGCATGCCCCAGCTCCCCCCATTGGAAGATACGCCCATGACAGGGCCCCAAGCACACCCCAGCTCCCCCCATTAACCAAGCCCCAGGCCCACCTCCACCTCATGAGTCCCCCAGCCCTGTCTGTGCATCCAGGAGCCCGAGGTGGCGGTGGCAGGCGGAGTTCTGGGACACAGTACGATGTCAGCCAGTCCCCCAGTGCCACTATGAGCGAGATACCGGTGACTCACTACTGAATTAGCCCAGTCGTCACGGGCTGCTAAGTATGCGTGTTTTCACAGGGTTTACTCTGCAGCTCAGCCAACAGGAGGCGGACAGCACAGCCCGCCTGCTGCCGGGCGCCTTCCACGCCCCTCCCTCCTCGATAGCATTGGGGCTGCTCACCCCAAGGACCCGTCCCCTGTTTGAAAACACACTAGAGGTGTTTGTCGAGTAATGTTTCAACTTCATTGTGTGAACCACAGGCAAAGTCCCATCAGTCCCACAGGCTGTGAAGCAAAAAGCAAACGAGCGTCACTTTAAGCTGGTGTTGGTCAGGGACGGGGAGCGGGGTCAGGGCCCAGGCGGGCCTGCCGTCTGCATGGGGGGGGCCTCGGAGTCTGAGGCTGCGATGGCTGATCCAGAACTGTGCACGCCAGATGCCGCAGCTCCACCTTTATCAGCCTAAAGTCGGCGGGCTGGAAAGCAATGAGCACCATCAATTTCAGGCTGGAAAACCGAGGTGCAAGGAGGAAAAGCCTCACCCTCCCCTCATCTTACCAAGCAAAGGGTCTCTGGGAATTGCTGAGTTTGAAGGGCACAGAAGGTGGCTTTGGGTTAAGACCCACGGCGTCTGAGGATGCAAAGGGATGTTCTGGCCGAGCAGACCTGGAGCTGCAGGCAGGCTCTGGGGCGTGTGTGTGCTGGGAGTGATGTCTGACACACCGGAATGCACATCTGCGCCACGTAACGGGAGCACGCTCCTTGCCCCTGCCCTGCCCACCACACGCATGACACACGGACTGGAAAGCAATGAGCACCATCAATTTCAGCCTGGAAAATCACGACTCAGCAACAAGGGTTGGAGGTGATGGAGGTCGCCTTGGGCAGGACAAGAACAGCCTGGCCGTCTGGAGGTAGCACACAGGGCTTAGTGGAGCCGAGTGCTCTCCCAGTACGTGCTGGCTGACCCCGGCGCCACCTCCCTGTGGAGGGCCCCATGGAGCCTCCAGCCAGGGACCGGGAACCAGAGACCAGGGTCAGGGGAGGTGGCTGGAACAGAAGGGCACGTCGGTGCTGGCCTGGGGGAGGCGCAGACAAGCTCCAGCTTCCCGGAGATGGACATAAAGCAAACTCCGGGCAATCAAGGGTCCTGTCAGCAGAGCAGAACTTCCTGGGGAGAAATCCGCTTCGGGGCTGCGGGCTCTAGACACCACCGAAACCTCCACAATCACACTTGGGGTCCCAGCCACCTCCTGGAAAGGCGAGCGTAATGAAGCCAGCGTGAAGATGAGGGGTAGGGCTGACGGGCGCTGCCGTCGGTGCGGGAGGGTTTGATTGCCTCTAACCGGCTTCGTCACCATCGGCAGCACGGCTACATGTGAAACGCAGAGAAGTTAAGACAGAGAAGAGACTGCAAGCAACGCGTGGACCCTGTGCTGGTTCCACGCTCTGGAAACAGAAGTGTGTGCAAAGGTGCAGAGACGCCTCCCTCCCGGCTGACAGCCTTTCCAGCAGCTCTTCTGGTCTGGGAGGGGCTCGCTGAGCCTGCACCGCCGTCTCGGCAGAGAGAAGCAGTCACAGGAGGCGAGGGACCCACCACAGCAGACGGCGTCTTGGGCTGAACTTCCTCAGACCCCTTCTCCTCCTTGCTGCCTCCCTCCACCTTGGGCAAGGTTAACCCGAAGGCCTGGAACACCACTGACAGGGCTGGTCTCCATGGACCAGCCACTGCTGGGGACCCCAGTCCCGTCAGGAGCGGAGCTGGCACCGGGAGAAGCCCAGACCCAGAGTGAGGCGCCTGCAGTGCCTGTGCCGACCGGCCCCAGCACTCTCCATAAGGAGGGGCCTCCAGTCCAGCCACCCTCCCCGCTGGCCGGGAGGTGAGGGGGCACCAGGCCTCTTTCTAAAGGGTGAAACCCAAGCGCAGCGGCCTGGTACTGTGTTGGTGGTATTGTTTTCTCTGTATTTTCTTTCCTTTATTCATTCGGAGATGCTGGACTGAGCATGAAGATGCTGTGGGCGACTGATTCCTGCATGGGCCTTTAGGTGGCACAGGGACCCTAATGGCTGGACCACCCTGCCTGCCCTTCACGACCCTCTCTTCGGTACACCCGAAAACCAGGACCACGCATGCCCCAAGCAAACGGCAGTCCGGGCAGGGGTGGAGCTGGACCCCTCTGTGCCCAGCTCTGGGTGGGTGGGTGATGTCAGAAGACATCGCCTACCACAAGTGGGCTCTCCTGTGCCCCCACAGCTGGCCAGGCGTCCCCAGCTCCCCGGGCCCCTCCTGCGGGGCCAACGTCTTTGTGTAGACGGGTTTCCTCATCCCTGTGATGCCTGGAACGTCAGCCCGCTGAGGGCTGGGAGGTTCCCTGTGGCTGCCTCACGTCCAGCCCACTGCCCAGCAGGTGTGAGCAACAAGAGTTTGCCCAGAGAGCCTGCCACTCAGTGCCCGAAGCCATCAGCCACCCCCAAGCTCGGAGCCCAAGACAAGGCAGAAAGTGACCCGGACAGCGGCCCCCACAACACACACGGACGGCACTGGAGAGGGGACGGGTTCGCATGCTCGGGGGACGCCTCGCCGAGCAGGGGACCCTCTAACACACGAGGTGTGAGCTTTCTGGCCTAGCTCACCACACCTTCCCGCATCCACAGCACTTAGGGAGTAGCGGGGCCTTCACGGGCGGTGGGGCGGTGGGAGTGCCAGAGCACCTATGTCCCCCCCGCAGGATGTGGGAGAGGAATGAGCACACACCAATTTCCAGGGAAGCTTCTAGAAGGCCCTGTAGGTTAGAGGCTGCTCTCAGGATTGGACTCCAAGGCTGGACAGAGGGACAGAGACTCCCACCTGGGCAGGGGGGGCTCAGCTTTGGGCCGAGTGTGGTGGGCCAGGGCAGAGGGTGGGAGCCACGGAGGAGGGGTGAAGGCAGCGGGTCCTTCTAAGGGAAGCCGTGGTTCAGGGGAGGGGCCTGGGGGCAGAGAGGCCACTGAGGATGACTCAGATACTTCCAGAGGGAGAGCAGGTGTGAGGTCTCAGGTGATAGCGGCCCAGAGAGAGAGGACAGGCAAGACGTCTTTGGGACAAGGAATGGACCTGCAGGCTGGGTGCAGGGCTGGGGCACGGGGAGCCCGGGGAAGGGGAATAGGGACGGAGGAGGCTCCCCAGGTAGAAACCAGATCCAGGCTAGTCTAGGGCTGCCTCTCACCGCCTCTGGGAGGTCCCTGACATTCTGAGGTGGCGGCTGGGTTGGAACATGGAAGGCTCCCACCAGAATACAGGGCCCGGGCCAGGCTGCTCCCCATCGTCCTCTGCCTTTGCTTTGTGCCTACTGACTGTCCCCTCCCTTGTGACTGTCTCTGCCCCTAGGGCCTGGTGCATGGCTGGAACCCTCCCAAGACTCATTAAATGAATACTCTGGAAGCCACGTCTCCAGCTTCACCCATAAGCCTGCAGCTGGCTCTGCCACTCCTGCCTCCTTCAAGCAGGCGTGGAAGGAGACCTGCAGAGCCAGGCCCCGCCACAGCAGAGGCTCACCCCATGGCGGGTGACATGCCAAGGGACAGGGAGGCCTCTTCCAAGGATATTCTCTGCCAGGCTGCCACCCCACCGGGCCCAGACCCGCCGTCCTGCAGGACGCCGCTGGCATACAAAGCTGGAACTCGGCCTCCCTGGAGCCGGGACCAGGGGATTCCAGAAAGTCCCGCTCGCCTAGTTGGAGATAAAAGTAATTCCACACCCGATTCCTGCCAGCCGTTTTAATAAATAAGTAAACGCTACAAAGCCTCGGGGAGCCCTCTACCCATTCGCTGGGGTGAAGGAGAGACGAGAATAGTTGCCCGGATCTGCTGCCAGCTGCCGGGCCCGTTTCTGGAAAGCCCAGCACCAAGGCGGCTTGTGCTGCTGCCATGAGTCTCAGCGCATGTCCGGGCGGAGAAGTCCGGAAGGGAGGAGCGGCCTGTGGCTGGAGCTGCTGCTGTTCCTGGGCTCAGTGGGCTGCCCTGGCCTCTAGGCCCGCCCAGGGCCTCCACAGAAACCACCGACCCTGGGGCAGCTCAGGAGGCCCTTGTCCATGGGGAAGCCCCAGGAGCACATGCAAGACAACATTTAACAAGGGACACGCCAGGCCGGGCGCCGTGGCTCACGCCTGTAATCCCAGCACTTTAGGAGACCGAGGCGGGTGGATCACAAGGTCAGGAGTTCGAGACCAGATTGGCCAAACATGGTGAAAGTCCGTCTCTACTAAAAATACAAAAATTAGCCAGGCACAGTGGCACGTGCCTGAAGTCCCGGCTACTCGGGAGGCTGAGTGAGGAGAATCACTTGAATCCCAGAGGTGGAAGCTGCAGTGAGCTGAGATAGTGCCACTGCACTCCAGCCTGGGAGACAGAGTGAGACTCCGTCTCAAAAAGAAAAGAAAAAAAAAAGGGATACATCAGACTCTACGGGCCCCCTGTGCCCGCACCAGCACAAGCCCCTGAGACAGCCTCCATGACAGTTCCCCAAATAAACAGTCATCAATCTACGGGGCTCTCCACACCCCAGTGCTCACTCCAGCCACCTGATCAGATCCCAGCCCTCTTTGTCCATCTCCTCCCTGAACACTGGGGCTGGACCGTCACTGACAGTGCCCTGGGCGACAGGTGGCAATCTATAGAGGTCATTAACTCCAGAGCGCCACATTTTAATGTGAAAATGAGCCCTTCTACATTGGCGCAGATGTGATGCTATATAAAGAAATGGGGATTTTAATGTTTTGCTTTTCTTCCCTTTTCTAGTGCCGCATTATCATAACATTTTCCCATAATTACGCCCATAAAAGTCACCTGAAAATACTTCATGCCACAAAAGTTGATCTACGTATTTCATTCCAAGCATGTCGCATGGCAGATCCTGAGCTCAGAACTCTGGGGCAAAACTTAGCTGGGGGCAGAGAACAGAGCCACAGAGCAGAGCCCCCTTCTTGGGTTCAAGTGTCCTCTGGCCTCAGGGAGGTCCAGCAGAATGAGTGCAGGTGGGAGTGGGACGCCAGTGTGGACCGTGGAAGAGCGCAGACCCCCTTCTGGTTCTATCTCAGTGAAAGAGCAGGGGTGGGGTGTGGGGAGGGGACAGTGGGGCACCGCCAGGATTCCCAGACAGGAGTCAATGCTGCTCTCCAGGGCACTGTCTAGAGTGGCTCTGCTGGGAAGTCCCTTCCCCCAGGCACCCCTGCCTGGGAAAATCCTTCGAGGGGCAAACCTGCCTCCTCCTGACTGGTCCTAGGGCAAGGATGTCAGCTAAAAGAAATCCTGAAGTCAGATCATTTATATTTACGGAGCCGACAGAAACAAACAACCCATGTTTTTGTGCCCCAAATTCATCAAATAAAAACACTGTAAGAATTTTTTTTTAAAAGAAAGATGAGAACTAAACTTCCAAACGGCATCCCTTCATCAAGCCCCCAGTGTTTTCCATTCTACCTCTTCTCGAACTCCAGAACAAAATCTGAACAGCAGGAAAGTAGCATCTTCTAATTGCTCATAAATACGCACTAAATTGTATTTACAAAGGAAACGCAACGCCAGAGTGCGTACGCTCGGTTAGGATTCTAATGGATTAAAACAACCCCAAAGTTGTCTGTAATTTCTTCTCATAGCTGTAGCTGCAGACGTGACGTTGAACCGGAGGGACAACTCGATGTCGACGGGATTTACCAACAGGGCCCGTGGAATCTAGGCTGGCGTGCAGTGTCCTTCCCCTGGATTTCCATACCTCACCCAAAGATGGAGTCAGGGATTAGGTGTCACAGGACGCTGCGCCAGGCCACCATCTGCTGCTCTCCCTTGCTGCTGTTCCATCCTATATCCCAGGGAGGGGGGGAAGATCACACCTCGGTGGCGGGCACAGAACGCCCTCAACCAGCTCTAGTTGGGTCAAGAGGTCCCATTCCACACCCAGGTAGACAGATCTGTCTACTCCGAATAGGCTACGGGGAAAACAACCTATACCAACTCTGTAAGTCACGCCCAGGGGGGCTTCCTCAGACCACACAGGGCAACTCGTTCCCAAGCATCCAGCTCCCACGAGCAGCCCCGGCCGCGGAGGAAAGCAAGGCTGCTGTCACCGTGATGGACGCAGACCACCGAGCATGCATGTCAAAGTGAGCCATGCAGGGCCCCTTCCCGTTTGCGTCTCCCGGCAATTCTTCCCCAGGAGGAGAAAATGACAAGGCTGTGTCACTATAGCAACTAGCCGAACTGGTGGCCTGCAGGTCTTTCTCCAGCCAGACGGTGGCGCCCGTCTCCTTCCATTCGGATCCCAGCACCCGGGAAAGAAAGGCCGGACTCCCGCTGGACCGGGAACAGCAGAGTCGCCCCAACAGAAAACCAGGCCAAGAAAGAATCCGCTTTTCTCTTAGCTGCGCCAGGAAGCCAACACCTTGTGTGCTTCAGAGAAACACACAGATTTAATAGGCAGGATAATTGAACCCTGTATGACACTTATCCGTTTCCCTAATTAATATGATTCAAATATATCTGCTTCATAACACGAAGACATTTTGAGTAATAAAAATCCTTACTGATAACAAAAACAATTTATAAACAAGGATACGAACGATTCCTCTTCATCCCAGATAGACTGGAAGAATGAAAATCATAGGAACGGTTTAATCAGCATTTAATTTGCTTTATGGGTTCTAAGAAAACGGGGGGGGGGGGCATTTTTTTCTCTAGGACTGCAGTTCCGAGCTATAAATTATTATTATGTCTATTTTGTATTTTAGTGAAATGTTTCAATTTCTCCAAGTACATTTCTGGTGTGATGGGGCGTGTCTCTTATTGTCAATTATTCCATTACATGGAGACGCAAACAGCCATAGAAACGCGCCTCACCCAAGCTTCTGTTTTTAATTATTTCTACTCTTCTGCTAAGACCTTCTTACCAACTGTCCTTGCCCAGGCCGAGGGCTGTTTCCCCAACACTGGGGAGGCCTCCTAGGGAGGGATGACTGTGGAAACCGGATCTCTTCTCGTCCGAGTGTCTGAGCAGCGGGCTCAGATGTCTGCACTGGGACACTGGGACTCCACTCAGCAGGGCGGGCGACAGTCACGGGAAGGTGCATGAACAACACGCTAACACCTTGGGATTCAGGCTGGAGCGAAGGGTGGGAGAGGGCTGACGCCTCGTGTAGGGAGACAGGAGACACTGTGCACCCAGCTCCTCACCGGCTGGGGAAGTGCAGTGTTGAAGCCACCGAGCCCTGGTGTCAAGTACTTAGCAACAATTAGCAGATGTTCTTTTCCGCACCTGCTGAGCTGCTGGGGGTTGGTGGGGGCTGTTGTCCTGGGCTCTAGAAGCCAGCCAGGGATGGGCAGCCTGCAGTGGGCTCAGGGCACTACAGCCCCTGGCCACACACTGCTGAATCAGGAAGTGCGTTCAAAAGCCTCCTCTTCGGCAGAGTTGACCTGCCATTAACCCTTTCTATGTCTCCTAGGAAGCCTTGCGTGGGGGTCTGCTAGGGGATCCCCCCACGAACGCCTGCAGGCCCCGCGACGGCCACGGAGACCTCAGGGACAGGCACAAATGTCTCGGAAACCCCCGGACCCCGCTCCCTGCAGCCAGTGGGTTCCCAGGGGCGCCGGCGCACCCGCGGTGGCCTAGCCTGCCTGGGCAGCTCTGGTTAAGACCCCTGTTTGCTGTGAAGCTCCAGACTTGGCGACCCCTCCCCGCGCGGTGCCACAGTAACGCTATAGGGAGGTGCACGACCCCGCGCGCAGAAACAAGTCGGACAATTCCCGATCTGGGCTCCGGGCTGCCCTCGCGAGCCTGGCGGGCTGGGCTGTCCCAGGACTCCGGGGGCCGACCCCGAGGTCTCCCGGGCCCGCCGTGCTGTCATTTAGGATGGGATGGGACTGGGAGCTTGGCGGCCCGCGGCTCTGGGGGAGCCAGTGTCTGCGGAGGGAGGTTTGGTGCCGGCCTTGTCATGGCTTTTTTCCATCACCTCCCGCGCCCGCGGCAATTCTCCATGGCAGGTGTTCCCCAGCGCCCGTCCTTTTCTCCCGCTGAAGACGAGACGCCTGGGGCTCCCGGAGCCGACGCCGAGCGGCCCCGACTCCCCCAGCAGCTGCGAACGTGCCCCGGGATGCTGAGCTCCCTCCCCAGGGCCGAGCCCGGAGTCTGCACCCGGGACGCCATCCGCCCGTCCTTCCCCTGCGCGGAGCCTCGGCGGGGACACAGGCCGCCCCCGCCCCCCAGGCCACGGAGCCCTCGGCCGTCACCCCCCCCCGGGGACCCCCGGGAGCCCACCGGCCCACGGCCGCCCCACGGGTCCCCAGCTCGGGCCCCAGACACGACCCCAGAACCGCCCGCGGCCGCGGGGACCCCTCCGGGCGTCCCACCCTCACTTGTCGGCTCTTCCGGAAAGCGCCTGACGAGCCGATGCCCGGGAAGGCGGAAGCTGCGGCCGCCCCTCCGAGCCCGAGGCGCCCCTCTCCCGGCTCCGCCGCCGCGATCCCCCGTCCCGGGCCGGAGGCTGCGGGCGGGAGGCACCGGGTGACGCTCCCCGACACCCCGGCCGCGCTGCCCGCCCGGACCTGCCGCCGCCTCCCTCCGGAGCGCGCGGCTCCGCCGGGAACCCGCGGGCCTGGGCCGGGAGCAGCCGCGAACGCACGCCGGGCAGGGACGGGCCGCGCCACCGGGGCCTGGAGCCGGGGCCCTGCCGGGGAGTCGCGGACGGAGGGCGGCTCGGGCAGGGGCGTCCGACCCCAGGAGCCCGGAGGACCCTCGCCCGCCAGCGCCGCGGAGGGGACCCCGCCGGGACCCGGGGGACCGCGCGCCCCGCGCTCCCAACTCCGCTCCAGCCGGCTCCGGGAGGCCCGCGGGGCGCCTGGCGGGGCAGGGGCGGGGGTCCGGGCCGAGGGCCGGGCCGCGCGGTACTCACTGCAGTAGGCGATGAGCAGGCTGGCCAGGATCATGAACGCCCAAAAAGTTGAGGACATGCTGGGTAGGGCGGTCGCATCTTGCCGGCTGCCGGTCCTGGGCGATGGCGCCATTGAAGCCGCGGCGCCCGCGCGGGGGGCAGCAGCGCGTCTCAGCAGCCGGCCCTGCCCGCGCCCCCGCGCCGGCCTCCACGTGCGGGCCCCGCGCGCGCCATCCTCCGCCGCCGCCGCCGCCGCCGCGCCCGGGCCCCGGCCCACCGCGCCCCGCGCCGCGTCCGCGCCTCCCGCGCTCGCGCCCGCGCCCGCCGACCCCGCGCCGGCCCGCCCGGGGGACGCCGGCCTCGCTCTGGGCGTCACTGCGCGCCCCGGCTAAGCGCGCCCCGGCAACCGTGCGAGACGCGCGCGCCCGCCGCCGCGGGGGGCTCCCGCCGCCGACCCGGGACTGGCGGGGAGGGAGGCCGGCGGAGGGGACGCCGCGCCGGAGCCGCTCCTCTGGATGGCGACAGAGACGGCCTGGCGCGCCCGCAGCCCCGGGCACCCCGGGAGGACGGCCTGGCCGGGTGAAGTTTGCGGACTCGGGCCTTCCGGGGCTCCCTCCGCCGCCGCCGAGGCCTGGAAGGCTGAGGGTGGGGGCCAGACGTCTCCTAAGGTGGGTTCTGGGACTTGGACCCGGAGTTTATTCCAAGTGGAGGGTGCTTTGGGCCTGTACCCCAGGGGGGCCCTGTCACCCCAAGTAGGGCTTGTGCAGTGGGCCTGAGTCCACGGGGAGCACAGCCTGGGACCCCAGCAGTCACCTTCACTGGAGGCCCCGCGCCTGTGAGGGCTCCTTCTCCCCCCTGTGTGGCACTGCCAGGCACAGGCGCGCATGTCTCCTCCGCCCTCCGCCCCAGGACCACTCTGCCCGGGCACCTCTGCCATGGCCCCGTCCTTGCTGAGCCATCTCCTGGACCATCTCCCTGGAGTCCCTGCGGGGCCAGTTACCGGGTGGCGCCTCCGGCTGCCAGTCCTGGGACTGGTCCTATGGAGGTGTGCTTCCTGAGAGGGCGACAGTGACCGTCATCTGTTTTACTCGCGCAGTCAGTGACCATCTGCGAAACAGGTTCACCCCTCTAACAACAAGCTAAGGATGGGAAGTGTGCCCCATGAGGACACGTTCCCCATGTCCACCCCTCCTGCTTATGTCCCCTCTGCACCTCCCTCTACAGCCCAGGAGATTCGCTCCCTAGTCCCGGATGCTCGGATGGCCCTGCTGCTTAGAGAGGCTCTGGCTCCTGCGGGCACCTGCAGCGGCGCCACCCGGAGTTCTCCCTTCTTGCAGGTTGGCAGCTAATGGAACTCCTGCCCGGGACTCACAAGATCTCCATCCGGCACAGGGGCTGGGGCCTTTGAGCACCCCAGAGCTTCTTTTGGAGCCAGAGACCCTTTTCTGAGGAGCCAGTAGAGGGCCTGCAAGTCGGATTGAGCAACCCCGAGTAGGAGCATCCTCCCTTCATCTTGAGGCCTGGTCCAGGTTGGTGAGGGCATGTGGACTCTCCCCAGCCCTACACTCATGCACAGCTCATGCCTGCAGGCATTCATCCCCCACACACAAACTGCACCACACGCACGCACACACACACACGTATTCTCCTTCAGTCTCTCTCTCACACACACACATACACACACACAACACTTTAGGAGAAACTGAGGCCAAGAGAGGCAGTCCCTCACTGCAGGTCCTCTAACCCCCATCCCAGTGGTTGGTGTGGACTGAAGTGTCCTTGCCAGGGGCTCCGGCGGGATTCTTGAGTTAATATGATTGTGTCCACGCTCCATGCTTGCTTTTCCCCAGGAATTTTTAATTCCTGTTTAATTAAAACACTGACTTTCCTTTTTAGTATCTTCTCAACTGCAGCTTCTCGCTGCTCTCTTTCCTGGCAGGGAGATGACTGCAGAGGTTGGGGCTCCCGACAACTTCGGGATGGTCACGCACCCCTTGCCTGTGGATGTGCAGGGTGGGCATGGGACCCTGGCATGGAGGGTCTCCCTCGATGGGATTCTGTGGAGCCAACCGTTGATGCCCAGGTCTCTACCTTTACCGCTTCATTGCTTCCACCGAAGCCTTTTATCCTGCTAAAAAGGACGTGGCTTTTGAAGTGTGACAGCTTCCATTTCATCCCGTCCATGCCGAACTCCTGCACCAGACGTGCCTTCACTCAGCCTCTATTTCTTGAGCGCCTACTTGGGCCAGACACTGGGCCGGGGAAAGCCAACATGACAGAGTTTCTGTCCCCTGGAAAGCGGCAGTCAGTTTGGGAAGCAGACGAGGAAACAATTCCAGTGCAGTGTGGCTGCCGTCACGAAGGGAGGCAGTGGAGAGCGAGGAGGGAGCATTTACCCTGAATCATGCCCTGGAGCACAGCAAGGTGTGTGCCGGGGAGGGCTTCCGGTGGGCTGCTGTCCACACCTTTTTTGTCCCATCCTTAAGACAGACACACAGACATGCACATACATATGCACATGCACACTCGCGAACACACATGCGCACACACGTGAACACATGCACAGACATGTTTGAAGCGAATGTTTCCGGAGCAGCATTTAGCCCAGCAATACTCTGATGTTCTCTATTCCATCCTAATCCATCTTCGAAATGCTGGTTGCCCACCCAATAATTTGGTTTACAGTCATTTTCTGTTTTAAAAATATGGTTCGAAGAGAGATGCCATCTACCTTGACTTTGGGAGGGTACACTGGAGCCTTCCTGCCAAGGACAGGGGCCGTGGTGACAGTGGGGTGGCTGGGGAGGGTTCCTAAGCAGAGGAAAAGGGGTGCAGTGCGGTCCACGGCCTGCTGTATGCGGGAACTCAGACACCGAGGTTTTTGCAGCCTCAACATTAGGGCTACGGCAGGAAACCCTGGGCTATGGGAACGTAGTGGCTGGTGCATTGCGTGCTGAAAATTTAAAAAAAAAAAAGGGAATGAAAGGGGAACTCTTGGTGCTTGTGACTTGGAGTCCAGAATGGTTAAGAGTCTGAAACCTGGTGATGCTGGAAAAGGTGAATTCTCCACCCTGGTTATAAGTAGAGGGAGCCGAGGAGGTGTGGGGTCAGAGATCAGACTGAAGAGGTGGGGCCTCCCGTGGGACGGCAACCTCGATATCATTACAGAGACGCCACCCCAGGCAGCCCGAAGGCAAAGGCAGGCACCTGGTCCAGCCCCATCCCGGCCGCGTTTCCAGAGGCCTGGAGAGAGAGAGAGAGAGACCACGATGGAAATTGAGGATGGGGCTGAGCGCAGCCTGAATTCTGTTGCTAGGGAACAGAAAGCTCCGTTCTGGATCCCAACACGCGCTGCAGATTGACGATTTTTTGCTGTTGTTGATGGGCTGTTTTTGATTACTAGCTGGAACTGACAGGAGTTTGGATTTCGAACCCCAAATAAGTCTATTAAATAATCACAGCATCACCTTCCCTCCTTTCCAAAAGCACAGGGGTGGCAATCGTTCAACCCTTGAGGGAGTCCTTGGCTCTCAACCCACACCAAGCCACCGGTCCTGGGATGCTTCAGAGGCCTGGCCCATGGAAGGGGTGCCCCGCACGGGGGGTGCCCAGGTTGCCTGAGGAGGACAATAGCAAGGGGCGTCACCCAGAGAGGAGGGGTGACTGACCAGCGTGCAGACCCCGGCACGTATTGCAGTCAGGTGGCGTCCTCGCTGCCCTCCTGGGGACATGAGTCCACTGCTGGCTGTGTTCTGCTGTGGTCGGTGGGGGTGGGTTGTGGTTCTCTCCTCCGTCCACTCCTCTGCAGTGAGTGTGTCTTATATTTGCCATTAGGTTGCAGGTGCCCAACTGACCAAGGGGTCCCCGAGATCCTGAATTTGGAGCTGGATGTTTTCACAGGGTGAGATGTCAGGATGTCCCGCTGATACAGTGGGAGAAAAATGTATTTTATGCGAGGCCAGCACTGTCCCCTAAAGGAAGCGCACAAGCGTCCGAACGGCACGGGGAGGCTGTAGCCGGCTGCTGTGCCTGTTTGCCCCTGGATCTGTGCCACCTTCTGAAAACAACTGCAGGCTTTCACCTTGCACACACGTATCCCACGTGCATTGTATCAAGAGCTTACACTGACAGCTGGGGAGGACCCAGGTTGGCAGAGGGAGTTGAGCCAGCTTGGCAGTGGCTGGGAAAATCCAGGTGACAGCCAGGGTGGCTAGCTTCTCAGGAGCGGCTGTGAGGACAGGGATGGGGGGCTTGGCAGCTCTCCAGGAAGTACAGCTGATGAGCTGTGGGGACTCTGGAGTGGTGAGCATGGCATAGATGTCCCAAGAGACGCCCCAGGCTTCTGGCTGCAGAACCTAGGCATGGCTGAGTGTAGTGGTTCACGCCCATAATTCTAGCACTTTGGCAGGCCAGAATGAGAGAGTAGGCCAGGATGTGAGGGTAACTTGAGGCCAGGAGTTCAAGACCAGCCTGGGCAACACAGCAGGACCCCATATCTACAAAAAAATGAAAGTTAGACAGCATGGTGGTGCACACCTGTAGTCCCAGCTACTCAGGATGTTGAGGTGAGAGGATTGCTTGAGCCCAGGGGTTCAAGGCTGCAGTGAGCTCTGATTGTATAACTGCATTCTGGCCTGGGTGACAGAGGAGACCCTGTCAGGAAAGCAGGAAGGAAGGAAGGAAGGGAGGGAGGGAGGAAGGGAGGAAGGAGGGAAGGAAAAGAAGGAAGGAAAGCAGGAAGGGAGGGAGGAAGGGAAGGAAGAGAGGAAGGAAACACAGGGATGAATGAAGAAGGGAGGGAGGAAGGGGAGGGGAGAAAAGGGAGGGAGGGAAAGAGGAAGGGAGGCAGGCAGAACAGGGAACTAGCAGGGATGGCCATTGAGATGGGCCCTGCCAGCTGCTGGGGACGGCTCTGAACCCTAGTGAGCTCAGGCAGTTCCTCAGCCAGCTTCCGTGCCACAGGAAAGACAGCACAAAAGGCCAGAAGATGCACATCGGGAAGTCGAGGCCCAGCAGGCACAAACTGTGTGCCTGCGAGGACAGAGCCCACCTGGCTGCTGAATTCTCAGCCCTGAAAACAGTGCTTTGCAGAGTTGGTAAATGGCATGAATGCGTTATTTAATGATAATTATCCATGGTGTTGATCCCGTGTAGTAATAACAAGCAGTATTGATACATCCCATACTACGGGCCCGGCGCCAGTCCAGGGGCTGCGTATACTCACTCACTTCATCTTCATAACAGTCGACACCTGGATTGAAGGACCTGGAACCTGGGCATGGGGGAGAGAAGGAAATTGCCCTGGGATTTTTAGGCAGCCATGGGAGCTGAGGTTGGGACCCAGGTAGTCTGCACCAGAGAACCTGCTCTGAGGACTGTGCTCACGACCTCTCATCACCAAATCATGTTCATTAAAAAAATGCAAAGTAGAGGGCTGGGCACGGTGGTTCATACCTATAATCCCAGCACTGGGAGGACGAGGCAGGCAGATCACCCGAGGTCGGGAGTTCGAGGCCAGCCTGACCAACATGGCGAAACCCCATCTCTGCTAAAAATACAAAAAAAAATTGGCCTGGCGTGGTGGTGCACGCCTATAATCTCAGCTACACAGAAGGCTGAGGCAGGAGAATCACTTGAACCTGGGAGGCACAGGTTGTGCTGAGCGGAGATGGGGCCACTGCACTCCGGCCTGGCAACAAGAGCGAAACTCCTATCTCAAAAAACAAAAAAAAAGCAAAATCGAGAGACAAGCAAAAGGAGCACCGAATGTCCCTCAGTTCTGCCACTCTGAGTTCACCATGTTGAGCGTTTGGTTCACGTCTCCCATATCCTTTCTCATGTACACATTCAGCCGGTAAATATTTCGCAGACAGGTTTCCTAGGACACAGTGAATATCATATCCTTCCAGAACATGACGTCTTCTGGCAGCCTGAAATTCTGCGACACATAAATACTGCCATTTATTCAATCAACGTTGATTTTTGGACATGGTGACCATTTCTAGCGTTTGGGAAACACTTCAGAAATGAACGCGCTTCTACTGAAATCATTTTCTATATTTATGGTTATTTACGGAAAAACATTACAGAGCTGGGACCGTTAGGTGCAAATAAGGGCATCGTTTTCAGGCCTCGCTCTGTAGCGCCAAACGAATTCCCAAAAAGATTGATATTAATTTGTACCCCTACGGACAGCACGTGGGAGGTTCCCCTGCGCCCGTCTGTTCACGCCGGCCTGGGAGTGAGCCGGCCTGGGAGTGAGCCGGCCTGGGAGTCTCGGACAGTTTTGCCCGTGGGAAGAAATCTCACTGCTGTTTTCATGGCATTTGTCTAATAAGGATCACCATTTTTATGTATGCCGTCTCTGCGCCGTTGCAGATCAGCTGTTTAGATTCCTTTCCAAGTTTTCTCTTAGTGGGCTTGTCTTTTATTCTCTATCAGCAAGAACTCCTTCAGTGTATTTGTGGGATATCTTCCTTTTACTTGGGAGGTTTTAAAACAGAGAGAAGCAGAAACGAGAATATCATAACGTAACACTATTGTCATAATAATGTTGCAAATCACGTTCTCAGCTGTCTTTGTTAAAGTGTCTCGTGTCCATTTCTTCTCCTGGAGGGTCACGTATGTTGCCAGTGGGAGCGTGACAGGAGGGCCTCATGTTTTCTGTCATGGAGGTGTGTTGATGGGGATTCTTCAGGGAGACAGAACCAAGAGGCAGTGTGTGTGTGCGTGTGTGTGTGTGTGTGTGTGTGTCTGTACAGTGGCGCATCTCTTACGATGGGAATATATTCTGAGAAATGCGGTGTGAGGCGACTCTGTCGTGTGAACTGGTACTCAGATCAAGACGGTGGCCTGCCACACACCCAGGCAATATGGTAGGTACAGGCTGCTGCTCCTGGGCTGCAAACCTGCACCGTGTGTACTGAGTAGGCGATTGTGACACTATAGATTTATCTATCGAAACGTAGAAAAGGTATAGAGTATACGGTAATGTAATCTTTTTTGACAAGGAATCTTGTTCTGCCGCCCAGGCTGTAGTGCAGTGGCACGATCTCGGCTCCCTGCAACCTCCGCCTCCTGGGTTCAAGCTTTCCTTCCTGCCTCGGCCTCCTGCATAGTTGGGACTACAGGCACCCACTACCACACCCAGATAATTTTTTTTTTTTAAGACAGAGTCTTGCTCTGTTGCCCAGGCTGGAGTGCAATGGTGCAATCTCGGCTCACTGCAACCTCTGCCTCCTGAGTTCAAGCGATTCTCCCGCCTCAGCTCCTGAGTGGCTGGGACTGCAGGCGCACGCCGCCACACATGGCTAATTTTTTTGTATTTTAGTAGTGATGGGGTTTCAACATGTTGCCCAGGCTGGTCTCAAACTCCTGAGCTCAGGCAATCTGCCTGCCTCGGCCTCTCAAAGTGCTGGTATTACAGGCGTGTGCCACCGCACCAGACCTAATTTTTGTATTTTTCAGTAGAGATGGGGTTTTGCCATTTCAGCTAGTCTGGCCTCAAACTCGTGACTTCAGGTGATCTGCCCACCGTGGCCTCCCAAAGTACTGGGATTACAAGCGTGAGCCACCACACCCGGTCAGTATTATAATCTTTTTTTTTTTTTTTTTTTGAGACGGAGTTTTGCTCTTGTTACCCAGGCTGGAGTGCAATGGTGCGATCTCGGCCCACTGCAACCTCTGCCTTCTGGGTTCAGGCAATTCTCCTGCCTCAGCCTCCTGAGTAGCTGGGATTACAGGCACGCACCACTGTGCCCAGCTAATTTTTTGTATTTTTAGTAGAGACGGGGTTTCACCATGTTGACCAGGATGGTCTCGATCTCTTGACCTCGTGATCCACCCGTCTCAGCCTCCCTCTCTTGACCTCGTGATCCACCCGTCTCAGCCTCCCCAGTATTGTAATCTTATGGGACCGCCATCATACCTAAGGTTCACTGTGGACCTCAACATCATCATTCAGCACGTGACTACTTGGAAAGAGAGAGAGAGGGCGAGATTAACTGGCTCGTGGAACTGTGGGACCTTGCAGGGCAGGCCAGCAGCTGAAGACCCAGGAGGGAGCTGCTGGTGCAGCTCAAGTCTGAAGGCATCCTGTGAGCAGAACGTCCTCTCCTGTGGGTGGTCTCAGTCCGCTTTCTCTTAAGGCTTCAACCGATTGGACAAGCCCACCCACGTTACGGCAGGTGATGTGCTTTACTCAGAGTCTACGGATTTAAATGTTAGGCACATCTAACAAATACCTTCACATTCACATCTAGACCGGCGTTTGACCAAGCAACTGGCAGCCGTGGCCTAGCCAAGGTGACTCATAAAACTAGCCATCGTAGGAGGCGTGACGGGCACACAACAACGCACGTATCTAAAATGGACAATTCGGTAAGTTTTGATGTATGCACATCCCAGTGGAAGCATCACCACCATGAAGACAGTGAACACATCCGTGCCATCACCTGCAGCCATCCTTTGCCGTCTGTCATTCCTCCATCCCAGGAAACTATGGACTCTGTCACTACACATAGGTTAGAATTTTCTAGAAGTTTGTAAACAATGGAATTATCCAGTATATACTCCTTTTTTCTGGCTTCTGTGATTCAGCGTACTGATTCTGAGGCACATCCATGCGACTGCATTTATCCCAAATAGTTCATTCCTTTCCATTGCCGATACCGTACTATCGTGGGGATTTGCCAGGTGAACTCACCTGTGCTGGACACTGGGTTGTTCGCTGTGTAGACCATTACAGATAAAGCTGCTGTGGACGTTTGTGAACCAGGATTTATAAGACCACACACTTTCTTTTTTTGCGGGGGTACAGCAAGGGGTTGAAAAGGCTGGATCAGATGATAGGCATTCATTTAACTTGTCATGGAACCGCCACACTCCTTCACAGCCTGACCGCACCATCTGACATGTGCCCCGGCCCTGTGTGAGGGCTCCCGCTGCTGTGTATTTCTGCCATGTCCTGGCACGCTTGGTCTTTCTGACTATACTTGTCTAATGGGTAAGAGGTACTATCTCATAGGATATTAATTTGTTTTCCTCTAATGACTAATGATGTTAAGAATTATCTCGGCCGGGCGCGGTGGCTCACGCCTGTAATCCCAGCACTTTGGGAGGCCGAGGCAGGTGGATCACGAGGTCAAGAGATCGAGACCATCCTGGCCAACAAGGTGAAACCCCATCTCTACTAAAAATACAAGAATTAGCTGAGCATGGTGGCGCGTGCCTGTAATCCCAGCTACTCAGGAGGCTGAGGCAGGAGAATTGCCTGAACCCAGGAGGCGGAGGTTGCGGTGAGCCGAGATCGCGCCATTGCACTCCAGCCTGGGTAACAAAAGCGAAACTCCGTCTCAAAAAAAAAAAAAAAGAATTATTTCATGTATGTTTATATGCATCTTCTGTGGTGAAGTACCCAGTTTTCATTTTTCTTGATTTCTGAGATTTCTTTATATGTTCTAGACATAAGTCCTTACGAGGCGTATAATTTCCAAATATTTTTCCCAGTCTGTGATCTGTCACTTCAATCTCCTAATGATGTCATTTAAAGAGTGTGCGTTTTTAATTTTCACAAATTTCAGTTTATCAGTTTCTTCTTCTATGGACTGCATCTTTTCGTGTCGTATTTACAAAATGTACACCTAGCCCAAGTTCGTGACATTTTCAGGTTGTTTACTTCTGTAAGTCTCACGGTTGCAGGTTTTACGGTTAGATCTGTGACTCCTTTCGAGCAAATGGTTGTCATGTTGTGAGTTGGAGACACAGGCTGGATTTTTTGAATGTGGATTTTCATTTGTCTTAGCATAATTGGTCAGAAATATTATTCTTTCTCCACCAAATTGATTCCGCGTCTTTGTCAATCATCAGTTGCCAATAGTTGCATGTGTCTCTTTCTGAACTCTGCTCCTTGTTGGCGGTTTCAGAAAATTGATTGTCTTTGTGTAGTTTTCTTCATGTTTCTTGTATCTGGGATTCTTTGAGTCTCTTGGATCTGTGCATTCATAATTGTCGTCAAAGTTGGAAATATTTCAGCCATTATTTCTTCAGTTTTTCTGTTTCCACCCCCAGTGACTCCCAGTACACACGATCTGAAGTTATAGCTTAACAATGCACTGCTTATTTTTAAGATTTCCCTCTCTCTTTCCTTTTGAATAGTTTATGTTGTGAGATCTTCAAATCCATTAACCTTTACTTCTGCAGTTTATAATCTACCATTAATCCCAAGAGTGTAGTTTTCAGCTCAGACACTATGCTTTTTATTTCTAAAATTTCAATTTATGTCTTTTTAGATGTTGCATGTCTCTACTTGGCTTTGTGAATATATGGATTACTGTTTCCATAACTTTAAAGATGCCTTTTGCTGCTAATTCTAACATCTTGTGTCAGTCCTGGGTTGGCCTCAGTTGATTGATTTATGTTTTCGAGTGCTGAAATTTCCTGCTTTATGGCATTCTTGGTGATTTTTGATTGGGCCTCAGACAACGTGAGTTTTGCTTGTCGAATGCTGGGCATTTAAAATTTTTTGTTAATATTCTTGGGTCATGTTCTTGGTTGCAGTTAATTCATTTGGGAGCAGTTTGATGGTTTGGGGTCTTACTTTTTGAGATGTTCGCGGGGAGCAGAGCAGTATGGAGCATAGGGCTCATTCTTCCCCGAATTCTGGATGCTCTACCCATGGCCTCATGAACTTCCACTTCTTATCTTCTCATTAACGGGCACAGGCACAATTCCTGGCCCTGTGTTCACAAGTGGGACGAATACACCGAATTCTTCTGGGTGGTTCTTTCTCTGGCCTGGGGTGGTTGGTTGTGTGCACCGAGGAGTTCTCACTCGAATGCTTGAAGACGGTCCCATGCAGGACTCCACATTCTTCTCTCTGGATAGATTTCACTTATGAGGTATGCTGTAGATGAATGCTAGGCCTCTTTGCCTCTTTGCACAGAGTCCAGCAGGCCCTTCCTAGCTTCCTTCTCCCTGCCCTGAAGCCTGGGGCCTCTTTCCAGGCAGTCATCTGGGGCACCTGGGGCCTCTTTCCAGGAAGTGAGCTCCCCGACCCGAAACCTGGGGCCTCTTTCCAGGAAGTGAGTTCCCCGCCCTGAAACCTGGGGCCTCTTTCCAGGAAGTGAGCTCCCCGCCCCGAAACCTGGGGCCTCTTTCCAGGAAGTGAGTTCCCCGTCTGGAAACCTGGGGCCTCTTTCCAGGCAGTCATCTGGGGCACCTGGGGCCTCTTTCCAGGAAGTGAGCTCCCCGCCCTGAAACCTGGGGCCTCTTTCCAGGCAGTCATCGGGGCAGCCTGGCTTCTTCCCGTCTTTCAGGAATCACTGTCCTCCATCGCCTGATGTTCAGCATCTTTGAAACCATCGTTTCAGGTATTTGGTCCATTTTTTTTGGTCGTTTTAGGTGGGAGGGAATATTCAGTCGCTTCTATTTCGTCAGTTTTGGAAGCAATAATTTTGGTATTTTTTATAATAAAAAATGTTTTACCCTGTGAAATATGAGATAAAATAGTCATACCTTCAGTTCCTTGGAATTCAAAGGATGGAGCAGAGCTGAGTGCCATCCCCTGCGAGGGGCCACAGCCCCCATCCTCAGTGTCTTCCCAGGGCTAAGGACAGTCCTCATGGGTGTGACAGGTCCCTCCACAAGGAGCATTGGAAGTGCATGTGGCATTGTCTGCTCAGCTTCAGAGCAGGAGATGCTGGCTGGTTCCAGATGGATGGGCAGGCATTCCTGCGGCAGGCAGGGAGGGGGAGGCGGGGGAGGGGGAGGGGAGGGAGGGAGAGGGGAGGGAGGGAGACAGGTTGACGGTTGTCAGTGCTGAGTCCAGCCCTGGATCTGAGGATGGGCACTGAGAGCCTGCCCGGTGTGGGCATGGGCTTCTTCTCTCTGGCCAACACCCTGTGGGGTCCCTTTTGCCTGACAAAGGCCTCAGCTCTGGACCCATCCAGCCACTGCTGTCTACGCACCTGCCTGGCAGTTCCCCAGCAGTTCCCCACAGGGCCTCTGGCACCGGAGCCTCCACACCCACCATCTCTCAGCCTCACTGGCCAGCAGCACCCCTCAGCCATTCTTCCAGTTCTTTGATTTTGTATTTTGAATGTGCATATGATCATTCATGGCAGTGGATGGTACAGCAGGCCCCGTCTGCCGCGGGGCCGTTGCCTGCCTTAAGACCTCCAGCTAATTCCTAAGCCCTTCCCAGAAGGCTGCTAACACTGGAAACTATGGAGCCACGGGGCTTCTCCAAGGGCAGGCCAGACGCTGCGGTCCCTCTGGGTGCTGAGATGTGAGGGTGTCTGTGGCAGGTGGCCAGCCTGCGTGGACTCTCTCCCAAATTGCATTCATTACGTGCCTTTCAAAAGCAACTTTGGCCAAGTGTGGTAGCTCAGGCCGAGGTGGGCGGATCACCTGAAGTCAGGAGTTCCAGACCAGCCTGACCAACATGGTGAAACCTTATCTCTACTAAAAATATAAAAAAATTAGCCGGGTGTGATGGCCAGCGCCTGTAATCCCAGCTATCTGGGAGGCTGAGGTAGGAGAATCGCTTGAACCCAGGAGGCAGAGGTTGCAGTGACCTGAGATCATGCCATTGCACTCCAGCCAGGGCAACAGAGGGAGGCTCTGTCTCAAAAATAAATATAAATAATAAAACAAAAGCAAGCTAGGCCAAGCGGGGTGGCTCACACCTGTAATCCCAGCACTTTGGGAGGCCGAGGCAGGTAGGTCACTTGAGGTCAGGAGTTCCAGACCAGCCTGGCCAGCATGGGGAAACCCTGTCCCTACCAAAAATACAAAAATTAGCTGGGCGTGGTGGCACGTGGCTGTAATCCCAGTTACTTGGGAGGCTGAGGTTGCAGTGAGCCGAGATTGCATCACTGCACTGCAGCCTTGGCGACAGAGTGAGACTCCGATTCAAAATAAGTACAAATAAATAGCAACCTCTTATTTTAGAACCGTTTTAGAAAACGTGCAGGTATACAGAGCTCCCCCAACCCCGCACCTGCCTCCCTCCGCTGGTAAGGTGAACGCTGGTGGGGGCACCTGTCACCGTATTGACAGTGACACTCCATCAGCTGCGATCCGGATGTTCTTCCCATTTCCTTCGTTTGCCCCGTTGGCTCCGCCCCATCGCGCGTTCTTTTCCTTCTTCTGTCCGTCTCAAGGTGCCATCCAGGATCTGTTTAGCCGGCGGGTCTCCTGGGGCTCCTCTGGCTGGGCGCGCATCTTGGGTTTGCTCTCGATGGCCTAAGCAACCCTGAAAACGCTTGTCAGGTGTTCATAGGACATCCCATCTGCAGGGACTTGTCTGATGGTTCTCTCCCCTCTCAGCTGGGGGGAGATGGGTCCTTGGGAGGACGACCGCCCAGGTAAAGGGCATTTTTCATCACATTAAGACTGAACGCCCCCACCGTGCCTGTGGCCTGAGTGTCTGACTCAGGGGTGCTGGCGGGGCTTTGAGACCCACTCCTTCCCAAACTCCCCGAGGCAGGATGGCTACAAATGATTCAAGACTTTTCTGCCTGGGAGATGTGTCTTTTCTCCCTATTTATTTATTCATTCAATCGTTAATTTAAATTAGCATGGATTCTTGGACATGTACTTGGACTGAGGGCTGTAATTTCACACAGTTTTTGTTTTGTAGCTGACGTTTCCAGCTCTGGCCATCAGGAGCGCCTTTAACTGTGTCTTGTATCCATTTGACACACCCCTGGCCTTACAGGGTGTTTTTCGTTTTTTTCTTTCCAGCGCTTTCATTATTTTAAAATAGCGGTTTCTTCCATTTGTCCACCTGTCTACGTAACGAAGCGGCCGGAATAGCGGGCAATGACCTGGGAGGTCGTCCGGAGTTACTGCAGCCTTGGGAAACCCACACCCGCTGGTTGCTTAAGAGTTGGGCAGCTGGCCGGGCGCAGTGGCTCACGCCTGTAATCCCAGCACTTTGGGAGGCTGAGGCGGGTGGATCACGAGGTCAAGAGATCAAGACCATCCTGGTCAACAAGGTGAAAGCCCGTCTCTACTAAAAATACAAAAATGAGCTGGGCATGGTGGCGCGTGCCTGTAATCCCAGCTACTCAGGAGGCTGAGGCAGGAGAATTGCCTGAACCCAGGAGGCGGAGGTTGCGGTGAGCCAAGATCGCACCATTGCACTCCAGCCTGGGTAACAAGAGCGAAACTCCGTCTCAAAAAAAAAGAGTTGGGCAGCCTTGGCCTGGCGCAGTTGCTCACGCCTGTAATCCCAGCACCTTGGAAGTCCAAGGCAGGCGGGTGAGGAGGTTGGGAGAGGGAGACCATCCTGGCCAACATGATGAAACCCCATCTCTACTACAAATACAAAAAATTAGTCAGGCAGGGTGGCCAGCGCCTATAACCCCAGCTACTCAGGAGGCTGAGGCAGGAGAATCGCTTGGATGCGGGAGGCAGAGGTTGCAGTGAGCTGAGATCGTGCCACTGCACTCCAGCCTGGCCACCATGCGAGACTCTGTCTCAAAAAAAAAAGTTGGGCAGCCTTATTGCAGATGAAATTGTATTTCCTGCCAGGTTCTTTTCTTGACATGATGAAAAGTGACCGCAGAACCCATCCTCAGCTCATGAATCCTGGCTGCTGGCTCAGGGCAGGTTGGGATAGGTGGATTGTCCTGTCATTCTTGGACATTGTCCCTGGATGAGTGTCTCCAAGACTTGGACATTCATGGAAAGGACAGTATTTCTGGTTTTCATTCAGTTTGGCGGCAACCTGGGGGTTCTGGGGAAGAGCCTGGCCTCTACCCAAGTGGGAGGAGAAGTGGGGCTGGTGGCCAGAGGGTCTCTCTCTTCAACCAAGGCTGTGGCAGTTGGCTTTGGGGTTGAGTCTTCAGTTGAAGAAAAGTTCACAGCAGAGTCCTGGGTGTCACTGGAGGAGGCTGTCCCTCGGGCACGTCTGCCCTCTTGCTACACAGTTCTGGCCCCCGACCTCTGACCAGCTGCACTGTCCCTTGGGGAACTGCTCCTTTGCCCCAGCATGATGGGTGGGGCCAGTCCATCCCCCACGTCAAAGCTCACAGGGGCTCATGTGGGCCAACCAGCAGCTGGTTCCAGTATGAGCCAAATCCAGGGCTTTTGTAGAGGCTGCTAGAAAAGAAGCCGAGTCCGGTCACTGGCCCTGCTACATGTGTGAGACCCACACCCAGAGCTGTCAAGAGGCCCCGGGAACAGGGGGCTGCCTGAGGACAGCGTCGCCCCAAAGCCACGGGGGAACGTGACCGCAGGTGACTGGTCCGCCCCTAGGTCCTGCCCCTAAGGATACACCTTTTCCTTCTGTTCCTTGGCGTTTGTACAGCTGTGCGTAGACATTTCCCGTAATGAAGAAGTGGGTTTGAGTGATGTCTCCTGTTTGCAATGAAAGGTTCTAGCACGACAAGGTGGTTGGTCTGGGATGTGCTCCAGAAATAGCAAAGGTCCATCTAGGAAAGGGAGTGAACCCACCAGCCCCTCTCCCCACCCCCGGAGCCTCCCACTGCTGCTCGGAGACCTCAGGCGGTGGACTGACCTCTGACCAGGCTTGGTAGCATCCCTGCCTGCACACAGCTCAGCAGCCTCTCGCTGGGGTGAGTGACGGCTCCAAGGCTGGGCACTGTGTCCCATCAGGTGGCCATCCATCGACCAGACAAACCCCTGGGCAGCGCACCAGGCGGACCCACTGAGTTCCTGGGCCTCATTCTCGGGAGAAGCTGTCTCACTTCTTGGACATTGAAGCTGAGAGATTTATGGGCCAGAGTTTTTTCAGGGGAGCTGTCTCTGGAATTATCGTGTAATTAAGATGCTAATGGCTGTTTGTGGAACCTTCTCTTCTCAGTCCAAGTGCTTTCTGAATAATAAGAAACGTCCCTTTTGTGATGGTGGAAAACAGCACGGAGAGCAAAATCCTTCATTAAATCACCATTTGCATCTTTTTTTCCTCTTACAATAGAAAGGAGTTTACTAATGCTCATTAATTTTTTTGTTGTGTGAATAAATGGCAGGGAATTCTACTTACAACCCATTCTTTTGTGAAGAAGGATAAACACCTTAATTCCTCACTGGGGCACATTCCAGCCCCAGAGAGCAGCTTCTTAATCAAAGTCTTTTCAAAAAATTTTTTTCAAGGAGTTTTGCAAACTTCATTTAGAAAAACTTGCCAGGGCCCCTCCAGGGCTGGCCAGAGGTCACCCTGTGGCCGCTGGCTTACGAGTCTCAAGTCACCCTGAGTTCAGCAGCCATGGCCCATCCAGGGTCCGCTGAACTCCGCAGCTGAGCCTAGACCGTGCACCAGCAGCCCGTCCTGTTCACTCTCTGGCTGGAGCTGAGGCCAAGTGAGATGACGCAGCCTGTCCAAGGTGACCCGGCAGATGCAGGCAGGCCGGGCTGGGAGCCAGGGCCCCGTCTCTGTCTGTAGATCCTTTGCTGCAGCCCAAGGCGCTGCCACAGTTTGTTACAGTCGAAGCAGATCTGCTCCCTCACAGGCCTTTTTACTGTGGCTACTTCCAGGCCAAGCCTGGCTCCATGGGCGAGGCTGCCCAGGACGCCCCAGAAGGCCATCTGCGCAATTGCAGTTGACAACCCAGAGGCCTGGTGATGAGGCTTGCGGAGGGGGAAAAGGAGGCCACTGGGGCCAGGCGGCACGGACCTGCCCGCTGCACCTCCCTTGAAAGGGACAGCACTGCTGTTCGCCATCACCAGGTGTCCGGACAAAAGGGCCCTCTGAGACATCCTCCTTCACAGTCTCCTGGGAACCAGGAGCCCCCATG